TATAAATACAACACGAGCACCTCCTCTAGTTCTAATTCTGGATCCAATTCAAGCTCCCGAGTGGTCTGCAAGCATCTCAAACCGTTTTTTTTTTCTCATCATTTAAACTTAATGAGGCATAAAATTGATAGGACCCTCACTTGAATAAATGGATTGGAATTTCAATTGTGGTGCTGGAGACTTCTGTCGGAATTTTGAAGGTGGCCTAGTAAAAGAGGTGTTGGCTCTAGGGCACCATTTCTTTCTTGCTTGTTTGAAAGAAAAAAAAAATTGTGCTTTTAGCTTTCTTTCTTACAGTAGTTCTTTTTTTTTTTTTTGGTTTCTATTCGTTATTATCTGTTTGGATTATGGGAAAGAAGAAAATGAAAACAGGAGAACTGAAAAGAAATTAAAAAAATTTAAATCCCTATGAGTCTTGAGCATTTAATTTGAATTTGGTTTTTTGGTAATTTTAATTTTATAGTCAGAGATTTGTGAACGAGAATAAATAACTTAATTGATGAAAAGAAATTGAGGCTTAAATCAAAAAAATTAAAAAACAGAGATCTTTCTATTTTTAACTAAAAGTTCAAAATATTTTAAAACCAATTAACCTAATATATATTAGCAAGTGTATGTTGTTTCACGATATTCTTAGTCCCAATTTTTATTCAGTATGTTTTTCACATAAAAAGTGAAATCTATTGATAATTATCATGATAGATTTCGTATTTATACAAGAAACGAGCGCATAATTTTGAATATATATAATTTTAAGAAGGACTATGTTAGCACATGCTATATTTGATTTTGTCTCTAATTATTTTAATAGAAGAATCCACTTGAAAAAACTTGTCTAAATGATAAGTTTAATTGATGAAATTGATAGTTAAAGGACTCAATGGAGAAACTATACATGCCAGATGATTAGTATGACCACATGAGGTTGCTCGATGTTGCTGTTGTTTTTCGTTTTTTTTCCTACTTCTTAACAGCAGATCGATGATGTCCTCAGATTGCTTTCATGCATCAATATTAAGTTTTCCACTTAGATTTAGTGAAGAAAAGTAACAAGAATTTTACTCATCCTAATGATTTGCAAGGTGGCATATTTATTTAACTATGAAGTCAATCGTCTCAGATGCTATACATGCATACATTGGAGCTTGTTGCGATCACTTTAAGATATTAAAATTCTGTTTGTTTGAAATAATCATAAATGCTTTTTTAAAAAAGTCTTGTAAAATATTGATTGTTGAGTTTAAGATTCAAATTATATCTGTGGTGACAAAAAAGATGAAATTTGATGTCATTTTTTTGTGTAGAAAACAAACTGAATCCTTTATATATATAAATAAATAAAATAAAAAGTTAAGCAAGTTTTCTATAAGAAACATTATGTTTACATTACACTATTTTTTTTATTTGAAAAAATCCCATATAACATTAGACTGAATTTTAGCGTTTTTTTTTTAAATAATTACGATCATACGTGAAAAAATAAATATGCCATCAACTAATAATTACAAAATATGGACAGGTTTAAATAGTAAAAAAGAAACTTTTTTATTTGTAAAAAATAGACAATTTAAATCAAATAGTTCTATACTAATTTTTTTCGTGGTATGCTTCAGAGTTAGATAAAATATATAAAATCATTTAGAAAAATCATTTCAGTTTGATCGTCTGTTTTGATATGAATCTATAAAATTTTATGAAATCAAAAGCGAAAAAAAGTTATTTATAATTTTTTAATAAAAATTTTTGTATTTAACTATTTCTTATTTATGTTTTTCATAATTTTTCTTTTAGAAAAAGAATTTATCCTTGTTAATATATGGATTATTAACTAAAAAAATCAATAATTTTTTTTAAAAAAATATTTAGTATTTCATAAGATTGTGTAAAAAAACAAAAATAACAATTATTAAAGCTTGCATATAATTGAACAAATAATTTTTTTATTTTATTTAATATTGATGAGAATATTGGTTTTTGAAAAAAAATGTGAATTTAATTTTTATATATTTATTTACAAAAAATGAATAATATTAAAATAAAAATCTGTATTAATTTGAATCATTGAGTGGTTAAGCCAAACTATAATTTTAATTATTTAATTTAAAATAATTTAATTTTAAAATATTCATAAATAAATAAATAAATAGTAAATGCTTAGTGTAGTAGTAGTTGCACGGTTAATTTTTTTAAAAAAACAACGAGTTCGGTATTTTTTTACACATCATAATTGTACTAAGTAAGTTCGAGTTTTCAGTCTAAAACAAAAATGCTATAACAAAACGTTAACTTGCAATGAACCTATTAACTAAATTTGAAGTTAATAGACTGAAATAAAAATTATTACAAATTTGATTTCGATTAATTTTAATTATATAAAGAAGAAATAAAGTAATAAAACATGTGAATTCTTTTTCTTTTTTTTCCTCCTTCTTAAATAATGTTTTATTTCTATGCTATGCGTGGCTAGTCCTTAAATATAGGCCTCACGTGCAAAGCAACCATTTTCTTTTTATTTTTCACATTTGATTTTCAAATATTAATTAGCCAATTTGAGTTTTTTTCTAAAAAAATCGAGAATTTTTTTTAAATACACTTTTAATCTAAACATATATTACGGACAAATTATATATATTAATCATGCAACTATAATTTAAAAATTATCTAAATCTATTTTTTAAAAGAAAAAATAATCATGTTCTAAAATTTATTCTAAAATCCATACACATAGAAAAATAAATTAAAATTATTATTAAATATAATTTTAAATTATTGGATGAGAATTTAAAAAAATGACAAATTAAAATAATAAATTTTAAATAATAAAAATAATTAACAATATAATCACTTTATAATTAAAATTTGAAATTGAAAAAAAAACATATAGAAAAATTGAGGATCATATAATTTTAAATTAATTGGAAGAGAATTTTTTAAAAAATGACAAATTAAAGTAGTAAATTGTAAATAATAAAAATAATTAATAAAAAACACTAAAATAAAATGGGATTGAATCATAATACAATTAAAGTTTGAAATTGAGAAAAAAGTATAGAAAAATCAAGGACTAAAAATGTATTTTAGAAAAATTATATATATTAATCATTTAAAAATTATCTAAATCTATTTTTCAAAAGAAAAAATAATCATGTTCTAAAAATTTATTTTAAAATCCATATATATAGTAAAATAAATCAAAATTTTTTATAAATCTAATTTTAAATTAATTAGATGAGAATTTAAAAAAAATGACAAATTAAAGTAGTAAATTTTAAATAATAAAAATAATTAACAAAAAAATTAAAATAAAATGAGATCAAATCACAATACAATTAAAGTTTGAAATTGAAAACAAAAATGCATAGAAAAATTGAGGATCATATAATTTTAAATTAATTGAATGAGAATAAAAAAATGATAAATTAAAATATTAAATATTAAATAATAAAAATAATTAACAAAAAACACTAAAATAAAATGAGATCAAATCACAGTACAATTAAAGTTGAAAATTAAAAAAATATAAAAAAATTGAGGATCAAAGCGTTATAAAAATGTCATAAATAGTGAAAGGAATAGTGATTTGTAAATGCGTAAATAATGATTTATGGGTGTGTGAATAGTGTTATGAATAAAATTAAAGTTTGAAATTGAAAAAAAAATATATAAAAAAAAATTGAAGACTAAAGCATTACAAAAATGTCATAAATAATAAAAAATATAGTGATTTATAAATGTATAAATAATGATTTATGAGTGTATGAATAATATTATTAACGGTAAAAAATTATTTTGTTTTACAGTTTTTTACAATAATTTTAAAATACGTGACTAGTGGGATGCAAGGACACTTCCAAACGAGAGCTAAGAGGAAATATGGGTCCTATAAGGATAAAGTTTTATTTTTCTTTTATTATTTATTTTATTTTATGTTTTTACTCTTACAAAAAAAAAAAAAAACTCACATAACAGTGCCAAGTCGTTAATAGTCACATTAACATGAAATTACTAAAAATTAACAGAATCATTCGAATAAAAAAAATAAAATTTACCCCTTTGACTAAAAAAAATGAAAATTTTGCGCACAAAATTTTTCTATCTACAAATAAAATCTAAATGATATTTGTAAAATAAATCAAATAAAAATGTCATCGTAATTGTTAACATATCTGCCACTCCACTTGGTTTGACTTTAAAGCAAACCCACTTGCTTAGTGGTGGTCACGTTGCACGCTACATACCTACCACCTACTTAAAAAAATCATCAAATATACAATGGACTGTCACCACACACTCTATATCCTCCCTGTCATCCTACAAAATTTCCCCTTTTTTTAGTTTTTTTAAATTGTTATCATTATTATATAAGAGTTACCTTATCTAATGGGGTAAATGGGCCCATAGATTTGGCTGGGCTTTTAATTTGAAAACTATAAAAAATGAAGATTGTCGGTGGATTCATGGACTTTTTTGACGAGTAAATTACACAATAGTCCCTCTAGTGTTTTCAAAAAGAATTAATAGTTTCTATAGTTTCAATAACTAATTCATTAGTCTTTATATTTTTAATTCTATTTGTAAATAACTTTTGAATTTTTTGAATTTATTTCATCTTTTTTTGTTTCAATAGATATAGGTATATTTTTAAAATAAAATAATAGGAAATTAACTATAGTAAATATTTATCAAAGATCAAGGGGTTAATTAATTAATATTCAAAACAAGAAGAACTATTTGATTCATTTTACAAAAATAAAGTAACTATTTTATAATTTACTCCTTTTTGGCGACTGCTAAGCTGAAAAAAAAAAAAAAAAAAAAAGGCCAAGTGAAACGTTATTACTTATTCTTGTTTGCTTCAAGCACCACCAAATCCAAATCCTCCCCTACCTCTTTCAAAGCTTATCTTTAGAAAGCATCAGATTTCCTTTTCAGGCAAAGAGAGAAACAACACAAACCATACTCACTCATCATCATCATCATCATCGTAATCATAAAATAAAATGAACGGCGGTGATGCGTACTGTGCAGCAGAGGCTCAATACATACGGAGACACCATAAACATGAGCCTAGAGAGAACCAGTGCACTTCTGCTCTTGTTAAGCACATCAAAGCTCCTGCTCACCTTGTAAGCTTTTCTTTTTGTCCTCTGTTTTGATCTTTTGATTGATTTTGTGTCCGTTGATTTGTTTGACTTCTTTTTTAAGGTCTTTCACCCTGTTGTTCTGTGTCAAATCTCTGCAATTTTTCTTGATTTCGGCTGATTTTACTTCATTTCTGCTTTATATCGTAATGAGCTTCTCTCTATTGTTTGTTTTCTCTTTCATTTCTAATAAGCCAAAATATAAACCATGGGGCTTTATTTGGTTTCTTTTCATTATCTCCTCGTTTTACTCTGCGTGCACAAACGAATTCTTATTAAGAGAAATTTTGATTTGGTTAATTGTTTTTTATATATTTAATTGGATCAGGTTTGGTCACTGGTGAGGCGATTTGATCAGCCACAGAGGTACAAGCCATTTGTGAGCAGGTGTATTATGAACGGAGAGCTTGGGATTGGAAGTGTTAGAGAGGTGAATGTTAAATCTGGACTTCCCGCAACTACTAGTACTGAGAGGCTTGAACTTCTTGATGATGAGGAGCACATTCTTGGAGTCAAGATTGTTGGTGGAGATCATAGGCTCAAGGTATAAATAAATAAATACATTCCTTTTCTTCTTGACCTTCTATTGTAAGCTGTTGTTGTTTCTTGTTATGTTATAGATTTCAATATCTTAAACTGTATGTATGTGCTTGTATTAAATTCATATGTGGGATCAAAATGTTATGGCACTTCAAATATTGTGGCTGGATGGATGAAAATGTATGATAAGCTACTGGAAAGTGGATAGGTTTCATTTTAATAATTTCTATGCGTTTCTGTTTTTTCCGTATGTGATGAAGAGTTTGCTGTTATGACCAAGTTTGGAATTTTATTTCGGGTATTGGTCATGGACCGTAGCACCTAGTTCTAGGAAATGCCAATAGCACGAGATATTATCTTCTGATAGTGTGGTATGCTTGTTTCAATTGTATTGTGCTTCTTTTTTCACCATTCCGGCTCGTTTATTCACATGTTACTTGTGTGGCCAAAAGAGCCTCTTCTTGTGGGTTGGGTATAGTGTTTTCTCTCTTATTAATTTGCTTGGTAGGCAACTTTATTTTAGGGCCACGATATCACAGGTCACTTTAAACGGTTGTGAATCACAGAAGCAGGTGGGAACTAAAGTTTTTGCCTACTTTTTATCCCTTTACTTCAGTGTCAAAATTATATATGTGAATTTGTCTCACTCCAAATGTTTGAAGGGCGAGAAAATGGAACGTTGTTTTTTGTTGAACGATGCTGAAAACTAAATAGAGAATAATTATGGGATTGTGGCTTTTACGATTCTAAGGAAATATATTTTGCTACAAATAGACAAGCCACTGTTCCGTGGTGATATGCAATGAACCTTTGTTTAACATCCATATATATATATATATATATATATATTCTCTGGCTAAGTGCATGCATGCCCACATGATGAAAAGACATTTGGAATCTACCACTAACCATGATCTTTTGCAGTGGGATACTTGGTTGAATTTTCAGTCTTTGGGCTACTTGTGTCCAGAGTAACCAAAGCATCCCTTTTAGCGCTAAGAAAAAAAAATGATGCCTTTAACTAAAAGCATTCCAGATTCTTCCTTAATCTGATTTCCCCCTGGTTTATTTTGCAGAACTACTCATCAATTATGACTGTCCACCCTGAGGTTATTGATGGGAGGCCTGGGACTTTAGTCATAGAATCATTTGTTGTAGATGTGCCTGATGGAAACACCAAGGATGAAACATGTTACTTTGTCAAGGCCCTCATAAGGTGCAATCTCAAATCTCTGGCTGATGTTTCTGAGAGGATGGCTGTGCAGGACCGGGTTGAACCAATCAATCAATTCTGAGTAGTAAGGTCCTAGAGATGCAATGGAAGAATGATAAGCTAAAGTTGTGCCATTTGACTGATATGGTTTCCTGAAGCTTTGTAGAGGTTGGTTGGAGTACTTCCTACTCTCAGAAGTTTTGAATGCAATGGGTCTGCCGTTGTTCTCTTTGCTTTATTCCTACACATCCGTAGTCAAGTTTTGGAAGGGGGTTTACCCTGTTTAGTATTTAGGTTCATAGCCAAGTTTCCTTGAACATCCAATGAATGGAAAAAGATCAGCTGTTTTTCAATGTTGTTTTTACTTTACGGATGGTGGTATGTAAATTACTGCTGGTCATGTCTGTAAATACTCTTGTAGGACACGGTCGGTTCCTTTTGGGTAGGGTTTTGTGTTGTAGTTGCAACTTGCAGGTGTAGGATGTTATAATAGGGAAGAACTTGAAGTAGCAGTTAGCTGTTGTTTCTTCTGCATACGTATTTGTTTAGCTTTCAGTGCAGTGCGCTATTGGTAATTCTCTCGTATCTCCCTAACATCCAGATTCCAGTCACAACTATACTTCCAAATTTTACGTGGAGCATATTATGCCAGCAGCTTTTGAGTGCAAAAGGTGCCGATTTTCCTTTTCTGTTGTGATTTATAGGTTAGGCTAGTTCAAGTCCGATAAGCTCAGGCCACACAAAAAGAAAAGTCTAACTGGATGGAAACCAAGGTATTTCACTTACCCAAACAAGTAGCAGTCTCAAAGAAAACATTTGGCTCGAAGCTTGGCCTAAATATGCAGTGTTTGGCAGACTTTTCCATTTGAATCTTCAGTGGGATTGGTGGCATTTAAGGTGCATCTGCATATCCAAGCAAAGACCATCAATACCCAACTCCGTTTTTCGTAAGAGGACTAAACTAACCAGCATCCTAAACTCTTTGCAAAAAAATTTTTATAAGGCACCTAATTTTGCAAGACATCAAACTAGACTATACGACGGCACCCTGTATACCAAGTAGACGCCAGTATTGTAATTCCTTCGGTAGCAAGATTTTGTAAATAAAAGTTCTCTATAGAAAAATATATTTTGACTCTTGCAAAAACTCAACTGCGAATGTTACAAAATTTACATTTGCTTGCTCCTTCGGTCAAGCATTCCCCTGCTACTATCCGTCAAACTTTTGTTACTATGTTGCGTCGCATCATTTAAGAAGGCTGTACACGGTTATGGGATAGACTTTGAACAGTGAGTAGCCAATGTTTTACCAGTAGTCATCGCAAGAACACTTCCCTGCCTTAAAATGGTGAAACCGAACACCATCCCTGAGGAAAATCTCTCGACTGCGAACGAGGGAAATGTATTTTGCTGCAGTGTGACAGTCAGAACAAATCCTTGTGTTCTTAATCACTCTGATTGGAGCATTACTTCTTGTTTTGATTAGTCCATAAGCAATTGCAAGTTTCTCAGTGTGACTCAGGAGCACCTTCTCCTTTTCTACCTCGTCGATTTTCTGATACACGCAGTTTATATCTGGCACATATCCAAATTTCTTCAGTTCAGAGACCAACTGATATAACTCATAGTATATCTCTCCTTCATCTTGATGGGGTATGCCTCCAGCAGAGAACAGATGAACTCTCTGATCAATTTGAATCCAGCTCCATACTTGCCTGGGCTTAATCCCCTTGGCATCCATGAGGTCTTTAATACAGTCTAAATCCTCCCATCTGTTTGACATGGCGTATAAACTCATCATCAAAACATAATTAGCAGAATTATATGGTTCTAACTTGAAAAGTTTCTTTGCTGCAATCTCTGCAAACTCAATGTTTCCATGGATTCGGCAAGATCCAAGCATGGCACCCCAAACACTAGCATCCGGCTCTATTGGCATTGTTTGAATGAAGTCCCAAGCTTCATCAAGGTAGCCAGCTCTTCCAAGAAGATCTGCCATGCAAGAGTAATGCTCAATGGTTGGTTTGATATCATTGTCGTTGCTCATCATATCAAAGCATTTCCATCCCTCTTCAACTAAACCAGAGTTCTTGCAACCAGAGAGGAGGGCGGTGAAGGTTATAGCATCTGGCAAGATACCAGCTCCTTGCATTCCATCAAAGAGTGCAATTGCCTCTCTTCCAAGGCCATTAATGGCAAATCCCATAATCATGCAATTCCAAGATGCTAATGTCTTCTCTGCACTCTTGAAAACTTCATGGGCACTTTCTATATCGCCCGACTTACTGTATGTGTCAATGAGTGCTGTAGCTACATATTCATCTTCAATGAAGCCTTTTCTAATACTTAGGCAGTGAATTTCTTTACCCTTCTGTAACAAGGATAGGCCTCCGCAAGTCCGAAGTAAGGTAGATATGGTGGCAGAGTTTGGTTCGATACCTTCTTGTTGCATTTGGACAAAAACATCGAAGGATTCCCTGTAGTTACCATTCTGTGAACAACCAGATACCAGAGCAGTCCAGGAAACTACATTTGGAGTCAATCCCAAAATTTTGATATCATGAATCAAAGCCAAAGCTTCCTTAGTGTGGCCACATACTGAATACCCAGCAACCAGGCTGTTCCATGTAATTAAATCTGGTTTGATTCCTTCCTCTTTCATACGATTCAACAACCTTTTTGCCTCATCAAAATGTCCCTTGAAAGAATACCCTGAAATTAATGAATTCCAAGCAACAATATTCCTGTTTTTCATATTATCAAAAATTGCCCGAGACCTGTTGAGGCACTCGTTCTTCACATACATGTCTAACAATGAAGTTCCCACGTATACATCATAGTTAAGCCCATTTCTTATCACATAACCATGAATTTCTTTCCCGAAATTCAAGAGCCCCAGTTTAACAACAGCTTGAAGAACACTTGTGATGGAGCGAGGATTTGGCCTAAAACCCGCAGCTTGCATTCTCCGCAAAATTATGATGACTTCTTTATATGAACTATGAAGAGCATGGCCTGACAATATGCTATTCCAGGTTATTACATCTGGTTTTGTACCTGACCTTTCCATCTTACAGAAAAGATTCCAAGCATCCCTCAAGTAACCAAGTGTAGTATAACTTGAGATAATCGAATTCCATGAGGACAAGCTATGATCTTTCATTGAATCAAATACCCTGCTAGCTAGTTTGATTTTGCCATTCCTAGAGTACATTATAATCAAAGAATTGCATATCGACAAATTTGATTCCATCGCAAGCTTTAACACATACCCGTGAATCTGCTTCCCTTCATTAAGAGCTCCTTCCTTGCTACAAGATTGCAGAATCTTCAAAACGGTAGTAGCATTAGCTTTAACAGCCGAGAACTGCATCTCTCTAAGCAATTCTAGAGCCTTAACAAATCTGCCATTCTTCAAGTTGACCAAGATTGCCTCATTCCACAAAAGATCATCTAAATTGGTGGCTTCATGAAATACTTGATTGGCAATTTCCGCACCCCAACACTTCCCATAGAAATTCATTAGTGCACACTTCACATACACATCTAATTCAAAACCCTTCTTGATCAAACTAGCATGCACTTCCAAACCAAGCCATAAATCCATTACACCAGCGCAAATCTTCAAAACCACACTAATCACTCTACTGTCAAACATCACTCCTTCACAATGCAATTCTTTAAAAACCTCAAGAACTTCAATTGGATCACCACCAAACCCCTTAAAATCCTCCAAGAAATTATTCCACATAACATAGTTCTTCGCAAAACCCACAAAGAAAACCATGGCAGCTGATTTATAATCACCAAGTTGTAAATAAGAAGTGATCAAATGCTTCGCCATGGAATCTGAATTCCACTCGTTACCCTTTTTTATCACCTGGGCATGAATTGCTTTAACTAAATCCAAAGTCTTGATATCAGCAGTGAAGTCATTTAAAGAGCTAGGATTTGGTACAGGTGTAAGTGTAGTTTCAAGAGACAAGGTGGTTGTGAAAGGAAGAGAAAGAGATGGTGGTGAATGGGTTCGAATTGGTTTTGGCTTGTGGTTTTGAAGTAGAGGCGGGCTATGGTAAAATGGAGCCAGTCTGTCCATGGTGAATGGAGTTGGGGTGTGAAGAAATGGCAGTGGACATGCCTCGTTATTTTCTGCAGTAATTGAATGCAAGACAAGAAAGTGCTTGGATCCTTGATTTTCTTGGATAAGGTCTTATCTTCTTGCAAATTGGGTCTTGTGGAGCCCTCCCTGGAGGTCAAAACGCACCGGTTTAAGTTTTTTTATGTTTTTTTTGCGCGACAGTTAAGACACACAGACCTAAGAACGCAGTAGTTCGCGCCCTTTATAATGGTTTTCTTTCCTTCCCTTTTATGAGGAGAAATTTAAGGGTTATATAGGTAGTAAAATCGCTGCACTCTTACAAGTAATTTCGCTATGTAATCCGGTAGATTATTTAATTAAAGAACAATTTGGCTTTTGATTAAGAGGAAATAAATTTCTCAAAAAACAAAAAGAAAGAAAGAAAGAAATAAAGATTGTTGTTCAGGAAAAAAAAGAAGATTCAATTAGTTTTTTTTTTTCATACATTAATTATCATCTTGGTAAGTTATTATTGTTATTTCCGATCAATGTAGGTATTTTGGGAAAATTGTGTCACGAGAGGAGAGAAACCCACATAATATGTGACTCCTAAAGTTTAATTTAGACTTGCATTTCCCTGTTGGTTTCAAGTTTAATTTATAGTAGAAGGTCAGCTGTAAATGGCCGTTTTTCTAAGTCAGAGGCAAGCAACAGTTGTCACAATGGAGTCTTGCGCTATTCTTATGTAGCTTGAATAGTGTAGCTGATCTTCTTAATTAACACCATGTTTTTCAAAAGCCTCACTTTGTTTAGGAATGCAGGAAAAATCATAACTGGTAATCAAGCAGAGCTTCTAAATGCAGTAAAAAAACAAAAAACCAAATTTATTTACTTAAAATGCAATCTAATGCCTTTTAACATCCAAATTAGTTTACGATTAATCTCTAACCTCGAAAGAAAAGCCCTAAGTGTATTTACATCTCAATCAGCAGCATTGTTCTGAGCTTTGTATTACCTTCATTTGGAGAATCCTCTTTTTTAGCCGAATCCCGTTTTGAATGTGACAAAAATTAAGATCGATTAAACAAGAACCCATTTTAATTTGCTTTTGTACTCATTGATTTCAGTTTAATCATAATCTGCGAAGAACGTAAGTAATACTGAAATTAAAAAAATCACATATTTCACAATAAGCAAATGCGATGGAGCATACAAAGAACGAAAAGGAAAATTCACAAAACCACTAGATTTCCGAAGACCTCATTTTCCATTTACCCAAAAACAAAAACCCCCCAAGCAGATAAACCTAAAACAGTAGAGAAACAGAGACCAGATCTACAAAAGATACCAGCTACCAAAGGAACCCTAAGTTATATACTAAGCCCTCTCTCCTCTAATCCTCCTAGCAAGCTGAATATCCTTTGGCATAATGGTGACTCTCTTAGCATGAATAGCACACAAATTGGTGTCCTCAAACAATCCCACGAGGTATGCCTCTGCTGCCTCTTGAAGAGCAGCCACTGCACTGCTTTGGAACCTCAAATCTGTCTTGAAATCTTGTGCTATTTCTCTCACCAGCCTTTGAAATGGCAATTTCCTTATCAGCAGCTCCGTGCTCTTCTGGTACTTTCTGATTTCTCTCAGTGCCACCGTTCCTGGCCTAAATCGATGCGGCTTCTTCACTCCTCCGGTTGCCGGTGCTGATTTACGGGCTGCCTTTGTGGCCAGTTGCTTACGTGGCGCCTTGCCTCCTGTTGACTTCCTTGCTGTTTGCTTCGTGCGTGCCATTGAAATGACTGGATTCGGGAAACTGAGTTTGCGGATTTCTGTTTTTTTTCTCGATAAGATGAGAAGAAAAATTTTGGGTTGAGAAATGAGGATTCTGTGGGGGTACTTATGGTGTAAAGAGCGGAAAGTGGAAAAGTTTGTATGTTGGATGGGTGGATTGGGACCGTAGATTTGATGTATTATCAATGGCTGTCATTTTTAGCAAGATGTGACGCGGATCTCGATCCGCGTACATCGCAAACTAACCAATATAATTTGTTGTTTAAGCGGGAACTTGAAATACTTTTGAAGTTCTCGCGCGTTTAGATGAAAATCAAAGGTTTGCCAGCAGGTGCGCAGCCCTGTCCCTGATGATTGATAATTGCAAGATATCAAACAGGATAACAGACCTTTTCTTTTCCAGGCCAGAAGTAGGGTGAGCAAACTATTCGATTAATCGAAAATCGAATAAAATCGAATCGAATTATGAAATTTAGTTTGATTTTAAATATAAAATTATACAATATAAAACCGAATCGAAAAAACTAAAATTATTTCGGTTCGGTTCGGTTTTTAGAAAAAAAATTTTGGTTTCGACCGAAAATCGAAATAAATAATAAAAAATTTCCTAATTTCTAAATCCCTAACTTTTCAATTTTCATTCTTGTCGAAACCGAAACACGCGAGATGGGAAGTAAATTTTGAGAAGCTGTTGGGGTAAGAAAAGAAAGTGACATAGTATAATTAATTGAGATACAACATGTTTGTATGAGCAAATTTAGTACACTTGGACTCGTTTTCATTACGGTTTAATTAAAATCTTCAAGGGCTTTATGATTGTTTATAAAAAGAATTAATTGATAACAAGATGTTACTTCATTGGCTAGTGGACTAAGTGCTAGTACAAAATATCTCTCTCGTAATGATTTTTTTTTTTTACAACAAAATATTTTGGTTAAAACCGAAATATTTTGAAACCAAACCGAAATAATTCGGTTACAAACCGAATTTACCGAATTTATTTCGGTTCGGTTTTGATTTTTTTTTTAATTTGGTTAACAAAAAATCGAACCGAATCGTACAAAACCGAACCGTTTAACCGAATGCTCACCCCTAGCCGAAGAAATGGATTCGTCGATAAAGGGCCAAAGCCACGTTAACTTACAATAGCCCACTAAAAAAGAGAGAACATTTAAATGAGAAATACTAAAAGGATGAATTAAGGCAAAAGCCTAGGTTGATTCCGTATTTTCCGTTCGACGGAGAGGACATTTTCTTCCATCTCCCCTCTTGATGAAATGGATGCCGGATTGCTCGTATTCTATTCCCCCCCTTTTTTTAGATGTGATGACCGAGGAATAAGTTCGAGAATTTTGAAAATATGACGGTGGTTGGCTCGATTGTAATGCAAGATCTAAATTACGAATGGGTATTCTAAAACCATATAAGTTATTTATTTTATATTTAAATTTATTTATTAATTTAATTACATCGCTTGGAATGACGTCTAGTCAAGAACATGAAATTATGTAACATTGAAGGATATGAATTTGATGTTTTGCTAAATTACTTGTGATTTTAGAAGATTTTTTGAGAATATTTGTTTTGCATAAAACATTTTACATGTAAAAAGTTTTACAATATCCGTTAAGCAATGCATTAAAAAATAGATACCAATAGAATGATGATGATATATTGTGGTGGTGGTAGTGATTGAAATAGTTAGATAATATTGTGAGTGGATTTATATTTACAAGATACTCTACTAAATTTTACAAATTAAAAATATTTTTTAATAAATGAATTAAATTTAAAGATTGGTCGTAAAATATTTTTTATTAACTACTTTTTTGTGAAATATTTTTATAGAAAACAAACAAAATAAATTTTGAAAATAATATTTTATAGGAAAATCAAGAAAAATCTATAAAATATTTTATATAAAACAAATGTCTCTTTGATTAGACGTGGATAACTTGGGGGTTTGGTGGTGTTGTTATTGATGAAATTTTTAAAAAATCAATAAAAGGAGATATTTATTTAAAAGAAAATTGGACATAAACCATTGTGTTTATCCGGTGGTCTATTTTGATCTTTCATGTATTTTCAAATCTATAATTACTTCTTGATGATAGATCCTCTAACTATACAAGTGCTTTTGTTTATGGATAGAGTTGAGATCCAAGCCCACTGCGAGCCTCTCACGAAGCCCAAGACCAAGCCCCTAAGTCCAAGCCTAAAGCAATCTTTCTCTCATTGTGCCTCTAACCCTAGTTATTTTTCTTCCTTTAGAATAGTTCAAGCTACTCGTTGGTCTCTTTCAAGTCGGAATAAGACAAAACGTTAGGATTTCAAGCTAGAGAAAAATCCTCTACCAATCATCCTTGTTCAACATGACAAAAAAAACAATGGGGAGGGAACCGATGGGAATTACACTCCCAAACTGGTTAAACTGGATTTTCCGTGATATGATAGGTCAAAAGACCTCACGCTTTAGATTAGTCGGGTGGAGCAATTCTTTGATTTTTAAAACATTACTACAAAAGAACATGTGTGTTCACTCGTTTATCATCTAGAAAAGGATGCCCAATTATGGACTCGAGGATAAAAAAATTTACATCCGACCATCACATAATGTGAATTGAAGAACAAATTTGTTAAGCATTTTGGTACATCGGAGTTATGAGAATTCATTTGCCGACTTATGCAAATTTAAGTAAATGGGCATAGTTTATGAGACAAAACCCGGTTTGACGAGTCGCTAGTTAGAGCGGGGACTCGACCGATGACTAGAAGACCTTTTCTAATGGCCTCGAGGAACACTTGTGGGTCGGTGTGTAGCCCAATGCCCATATACTTTGAATGAGGCCATTGGGCTGGCCAAGATCTTTAAAAGTCGAGACGTCGAGGCCCATGACCTATGGCTCGGTTCTCTAGTCGGATGGCATACTAAAATCAACCACAAAGAGAGCTCATTATGAAACCAATCTAGAAGCTTCCTCAACTAGCCTTCAAATTTTGTATCGTCAACTCCCATTCACCGATATACACCCATATGGATTTAATAATAGTGTTGGTCAAAGGCTACGCTTCCATCGTGATGAACCTTACACTACGACTCATGTGTGCGAAAGCTTTTTTTCATTAAGCTAGAGCAAAAACCTAAGGCATCCCTAGAAATTTCACTTGCAGAGTTTCCCACTAACGAACATAAGTTCGCCTTAAATTTATTTACATGTGTTCATCGGCATCCTCACTCCACAAACCATGCACGTATGTGCCTAATCGGCGAGCACTTGTCACGATCCTTATTGACTCGAGTTCAACCAACAACTTCCTATGCCGGAGGATTGCATGGGCTATAGACCTTGAACCCGGACCACCCATGAAGGTAATGATAGCCAATATGGAAAGGCTTGATAGCTTGAGAGTTTATGCACAATCACATCCGATTCTTCTTAACTCTTTATTTCAAGTGGATTTTTTGTTGTTGCCACTTAGACGGATATGATGATGTGCTTGGAGCGCGATCGTTTCAAACTTTAGGGATTATTCTATAGAATTTTTGAAACATAAAAATGAAGTTTTAAACTAATTTAATGGTTATCACACTAAGGAGACCTAAAACACCCGAAGCTAGATTGGTCGGGAAAAGACATTAAATCGAGTACTAAAGTAGTCCTAAAAGAAGAGGGCTTTGCTTATAAATATTATTGGTTCCTAACCAATGAACTATAAAGCTAAAGGTTTGGCATGATATTCAACAAGAATTCTTAAAATTTTTCCGGATATTAGATAACTCGCCTCCAAGATAGAAACACGATCACCAAATTTCGTTAGGATAGAGTCGTCATTTGGTTAGCGTCTAGCCATTCCGGTACCCTCACTTATAGAAGAAGAAAATAGAAAAACTAGTGATTGAGATGCTTACACAAGGTATCATTCCCGGTAAAAGTCTTTTTTCTTCTTTAATATTACGAGTCAAGAAGAGTGATGACTCGTGGAGACTTTATGGGGATTATATGGCACTCGAATCGGATCACCATTAAAGAAAAAATTTCTCATACTAGTTATTGAAGTTGGATTAACTAAAAGGAGTCAACTGGTTCACCAAACTAGACCTTCAATCGAGTACATTAAATCATAATGCATTATGTCGATGTTGCTAAAATGGCCTTTCGCATCCCCTATGGCCATTATGAGTTTTTGATAATGCCTTTCGACCTTTCGAATGTAGCTTCTATTTTTTCAAACTCTTACGAATGACATATTCTAGTAATATTTAACAAAATTTGTGTTAGTATTTCTTTTATGACATTCGATATACAACAAGACTATGAAAGAGCACTCATATGGCATAAAAGTTATATGTTATATTCCGCAAAATAACCAATTTGTGGTAAAGAAAGAAAAATGTCGGCTTGCCTAACAATAGGTTCAATAATTGGGACATATCTTTGACGAATGAGGCTTCTTAGCCGACCTAGACAAAATCAAAGCCATGACCAATTGCTTAAACCTCAAACTATTAAGGAGCTACGGGGATTCACGGGGCTAATTGGTTATTATCGTTGATTCATATCAAGTTATGGCATAATTGCATGATCCTTAATAAACCTACTTAAGAAAAATGTCTTTTCTTGGAGCAATGAAGCGGACTATACATTTTAACGAGTTCGAGACAATCATGCCTCCATGGTAAGAACTTGTCCTTCTTTACCTATGAGAAGGAATTAATGGCTCTGGTCCTTGTAGTACAAAAATGGCGACCCTACCTCTTAAAAGGACACTTTGCAATAAGGACTAACTAACGAAGCCTTAAATTTATGTTGGAGCAACGAATCGCCATCAAAGCTTAAAAAAGATGGCTTGTTAAACTAATGGGCTATGATTTTTGCATCAAGTATAAACAAGGACACACTAATATGACTACAAATAACCTTTTTAGAAATAAACAAATTACACCTCACGCCCTATCAACTCCACCCTAAATTAGAATCTCCTTGTGTATGTATATATGCATGTTTAGATCTTAAGTGTGTGTGTGTGTGTGTTGTTAAACATGTAATAACTATGTTCATATATGAATAAAATATATGTTTTAGACTTGTATGAAATTGTGCTTAAACTTGTTTATATTAATTACATAATTTTGCATGATTAAGTTACTAAGAATTAAAGTTATGTGGAAAAAATCAAATGTGTGTGTGTGTGTGTATATATATTATGTTGCATGAATAATTTAATTATTTAATATATGAATATTTATTTAAAAAGTGAATTAATATTTAATGTTTGCATAGAAAATAAATTAATGCATGCACAAATATTATGAGAGGTAAATAAATTATTTAATATTTGATTTAGTAAGCTATAAGATTAATTGTTGAGATTATAATAATTTAAGAATGTAATTACATGATTTTAGGGGTTTAGTTGTACAATTGAAAGATTTGGAAGCTTGATCAAAATGATTTAAAAATTTAAATAACCACTATAAATTAGTAAAAAGCTTAGATAGAGGCTGGATTATGTTAAATTGAAAGTTTAGGGACTAAAATCGAAGGACTCGATTGAACTAATTATAAGTTTAAGGGACCATATTATATAATTTTGACAAATTAAGGGACCAATTAATTTGGTTGGAATTTGCACTTTATATCTAGGATTTACATGGATAAACAAAGAGAAAGAGGGGCTCGTATATCGACGAGAGAAAGGAAAAATAAAGAGAGAGAAAGAAAGAAAGAGAGAGAGAAATGAAGAGAATTTTAGAGATAAGGCATTAAATAAAGGATAGAGGGATTGATCCAAGCATGCCACACTTGGATAAATCACAAGGAAATTCTCCTCTATAAATCAACAAGAAAAGGAAGAATGATGGGAGTTTGAAAACTCGGGGAGAATCAAATTGGGATCAAGGCAAATTCAAGATAAATTAAGCTTACCCACATACGAAATCACCCAAAACACCTTAGATACATCCCAAATACTCTTTAAAAATACTTAGAAAGATTAAAAAAAAAAAAGGAAAAAAAATGAGAGGTTTAGTTGAAACATTGAGGAAGAAGAAGAAGAATGAAACTTCGAGCGAGTGAAGGAAGAATTCTTCAAAACATAAACAATCAATTAACAATTCATCATTTTTTTGTAGTGCGATGAGGGCTACACTTGCCTCACTTGATGCTTGATCAAATTTTTTTACTAGTTGCTTAAAGTTTCCTTCTCTTTCTTTTTTCCTCAATGTTTCAACCAAACCTTCTTTTTTTCTTCTTTCTTTATTTGATATCTTCAAGTATTTTTAGAGTGTATTTAGGGTGTATCTAAAGTGTTTTTGGTGGTTTTAGGTTGTGGGTAGGCTTAATTTATCTTGAATTAGCCTTGAGCTAAATTTGATTCTCCTTGAGTTTTCAAACTCACATCATTCTTCTTCTTCCTCTTCTTGCCAGATTTATAGAGGAGGATTTTCTTGTGATTTTGCCAAATGTGGCACACTTAGATCAACCCTCTATCCTTTATTTAATGCCTCATCTTTAGAATTCTCTCCATTTCTCCTTTCTTTACCGACATACCAGCCCCTCTTTCTCTTTATTTTTACAGTTAAAATATGGATATAAAGGGCCAATTCCATATGAATTAATAGGTCCCTTGATTTGTCAAAATCTTATAATATGGTCTCTAAACTTGTAATTAGTTCAATTGAGTCCTCAAATTTCAGTCCTTAAACTTCGAATTTACCATAATCTAGCATTTATCTAGGCTTTTTACTAATTTATAATGGTCATTTGAATTTTTAAGTTATTTTAATCAAGCACTCAAATCTTTTAATTGTACAACTAAACCCTTGAAATCTTGTAATTACACTCTTAAATTATTATAACCTTAATAATTAATCTTATAACTTACAAAATCAAGCATTAAATAATTTATTTACCTCTCGTAACATTTATGCACGCATTAATTTATTTTCCATACAAACATTAAACATTGATTCATTACTTAAATAAATATTCATATATTAAATAATTAAATTATTCATGCAACACACACACACATTTAATTTTTTCTACATAGCTTTAACCCTTATTAACTTAATCATACAAAATTATGTAATTAATATAATCAAGTTTAAGCATGATTTTATACAAGTCAAAAACATATATTTTATTTATACATGAACATAGTTATTATATGTTTAACAAAACACACACATGCACACACATATATACTTAAGATCTAAATGTGCAAATATACGTACACAAAGAGATTTTAATTTGGGTCTGTGACACATATTACAATGGCTTGATCCCATATAGGAAGAAAATATTAACCATCCCGAGTTTTAGTGATTACACCAACTAGTGCACCAAAAAGAGGTCGTGGGACCTTGGTAAGTACGCTACGGAATTTTTTTCTTTTAAATGCAAATTTATTTTCCTCGAACTCATCAATCATTCCGGTATTACTTTAGGAAATTCATGGCGGTAGTCATGAAAGGTATCCCAAAACTCTATACAAGCTCAAGGAAGCTTTTTTAAAAGAAAATGAAAGAAGGTCTCCAATAATTCATATGGGAATATGACATTTGTCAACACCACAAGCTCGATCTATAGAAACCCGCATGATTATTCTAACCTCTACCAATTTCCTTATAAGTTTAGGTCGATATTTCAATTGATTTCATTGACGACTTTCCACTCTCAAAGGGTAAACATGTTATTTTTGTGGTAGTTGATAGATTATCAAAATACTCTCACTTTATCCATACACAACTACTAGCATTGCCCAAATATTTTTTGATAATACTTTCAAGCTCTATGGCATGCCTTTATCAATTATGTGTGATCGAGACTCCACCATCACAAGTGTTTTTTGGAAAGAAATCTTCAAATTCTAAGGTACTTACTTCGATTTCATTTTTGCATACCACCTTGGTCAAACCGAAGTGGTAAACCAAACTACCGAGATGTACCTCTGTTACTTCACAAGTTCTAAGCCAAAGGAATGGACCAAATGAATTATATAAGCCGAATATTGTTATAACATCAGCTTATATTCCTTTACACGCTCACTCCTTTGAGATTGTTTACAATTGCCCCCATTGATATTGCTCTTTTATATCCCAAAAAGGGTTAAGGTCCAAGCAATAGAAAATTCCTTAATCCATCGAGATCAAGTTCTCGAGGACTTGTATTCACGCTTTGTGGGAGCACAAAACAAAATGAAACAGTGTCTATGATCGGCACTACGTGGAGAAGAATTTAAATAAGGTGATTGGGTTTACTTAAAGTTGCAACCATATAGGTAATCTACTATTGCTACTCGAACTTCTTTGAAACTTACGACTTTATTCTACGAGCCTTTCAAGTTATTAGTAAAAATGGGACCAATAGCGTATTAATTGGAGCACCCATTCTCTAGTAAATCATCTTGTCTTCCTTGTGTCAACATTGAAGAAAAAATTAGGTGACTCGGACTAAGCCTCCATTCAATTACTAGAATTTTGTACAACCTATGCTACCCTCGCAAAAGCTACGAGTAGCAATCCTTAAAATATGTGAGAATGGTAGGAATCGAGAGTTTTTGGTCTAGTAGTAGAACATCGATGTCTCGAAAGTAACTTGGGTCAACCGAGCTTCGTCCTCCGAGATTTTCCTAATTTCCCTCCTCCTCGTGGTCAAGGAGTATCTTAACGAGGGGGTGGTGAAGCTATTATGGTCCGAGCCTTCCATGAAGCCCGAGATCAAGCCCCCAAGTCCAAGCATAAAGCAATTCATTTCGCACCGTACCTCCAACTCTAGTTATTATCATCCTTTAGAATAACTCAACCTTTGTTCGTTATTTTCTTCATTTAGAATAGTTTAAGCTATCGTTAGTCTCTTTCGAGTTAGAATAGGACGACACATTAGGATTTGATCCTCTTGTTTTATTGTTAATTATCATTGTAATGAGTCCTATGTAAAGGTCTTGTGCAAGTGAATGATGGACATAAACGGTTTCCTCATTTATTCTACTATTTGCTTATATAAACGTCTTCTCATCTTGTTTTTGATAATTCTTTCAAAATAGCTTGTGGCGAGAGATAGAACGTGTTATCTAGACATAGGCCGTGGAGATATATAGGTATGTAACAAATAGTTTTACCTTTCATCAAAGTTTAAGTCGTTGCGGACACAAAATTGCATGCTTTTGTGTTTTTACGATCTCATTGCAATTCTATTGTTTAACAATGATGGCATTTTATCAAAACTTTGTGTTAAAATTATTTTTATTTGTATTGTTTTTTGTTACAATTAAATTGGAAGCATGTTGAATTTACTAGTAAAATAATTTAAACTCAAGAAAGATAATTTAAAATCAATGCTTATACTTTCACTTTTAGTGACATTAAAAGAATCAAATCAATGTTTATATTTAAATGTTGTTCGCATGTGGAGTAAATCAATAAAATCATCTTATTCATTGTAGTTTTTTAAGTGTGGAAAAATAGGAATGGTGTTAGGACCATCGTCCCCGAATTATCCCTATTTTCGACTCAAAACCATTTTAAAATCCAAATTCCAAAAATCATGGAACATTTCATTTTATCTTAAAACCTTTTATATATATATATATATATATATATATATATATATATATATATATATATATATTATGCCCACTATATCTAAACACACTTGTCAATTGCAATTAATATATATTTTTGTTATTTATTAATAAAATAAATAAATAAAAGATTGCAAGATTCAAATGATAAAAATAAAATATCAAGATTAGTGAAGAATTGGAGCATCGATTAATATAAAACACCATGTTTTTATTATAAAAGGACTTGATTAAGAGACAATAATAATTTAAAACACCATGTTTTTATCATAAAAAGACTTGATTGAGAGACAATAACAACTTAAAACACCATGTTTTCATTATAAAATGACTTGATTGAAAGATAATAAAGATATTAATGATACATGATAAAACGAGTTACATTACAATAAATTTTTTAATAACTTAAGAGATCTTAAATTAAAATTTTCTATTTGTTTTATCACGTATATAGTATCCATCTTAAACTAAAGTTTACAACATAAACTTTCTATTGGTTCTTAAAAAAACAATAAACAATAGTTGAATTTTTTTTAAAAAATAAAAATTAGCATCTAAATGTTTTAAATAAAACATATTTCTCCCATATTTTATTTTTTAATTTATTTGGACGACATTCATCCTCGATACTTTACACTATTATCACATAATTGAAATCAAGAATCACAAAAAAAAAAAAAAATCCTTATTGACAATTTCGAATTGATAGATGTACCTTAGCAATTTAGATGATAATTGATGTCACAAAATTGAAATGGTGGCTACTTCCAATTTATTGTAATTGTGATACATAGATGTGGATAATATCTTAATGACTAAAGAGCTTGTAACCTAATGATAGTGATCTTTTGTAAAAAGAAATTATGTATTTAAATCTTAATAGGTCAATTTGTTAGGAGTTCGGATATATGAGTTTGTTGTTGCTTGTCGAATTTGATCTTAAATGTGGAGCGAGATCGACACTTTAATTTATAACCAAGTCCTTCGCGAGGAAATAAAGGGGTTCAATGCTTGCCTAGTATGCCACTAGGACTTTTACGTGGTAGTTTGATTTGAATAATTAAATTAAATAAAAAGAAATGTCGTTAATCAAAAGAAACAACATGTAATGAAATAACTAAGATATAAATATTATAAATCGAAAAATACAATATGTCAACAATCTTTGATGTCATTGAAGCCATTTGGTCACAATGAAAATTGAAACTTCTAAGTTATCGAGAAGAAAGGCAAATACTATCGATCTAACTTGCAGGAATGTAAAACTATTATAAAGAAAGCTTGATAAAAATAATCTTTAGAGAAGACTTGTCGTGTTCCCTTTCTCTCTTTTCATCATTTTTCTTTTAAACATTTTGCTGATTGATAATCGTATCGAGTTTCAAATTTTGAGACGAACAATTATAAGATTTTATCTTAATTCTTGTTAGTCGATATTGGTTGATTTGTGAAACCAAATGCATCTTTTACTTAAGATCTTGAAAACGTATCATTTTGATTAAAATGCTGCGTTTTAGTGTGTAAACACACATTTACATGTGGCTTTTAAAATTTATATATGCTGACAAGGTTAAAACAAAAAAAAAAAAACAAAGAAGAAAAAGAAGAAGAAGATAATAGCCTAATGTTAGCTAGCTTCAGCACCTTGATTTCTGCGAGAGTGGTGTTTAAATTTGGCACATCGACGCAGAGATCAAGTCATGAACATCGAAAAAAAAAAAAAGAGAAAAAGATAAAAAAAGTATTGGACAAATTCTAAAAGATAATAACCTCCAAAAAGAAGTTTTGAATTTGGTACAATTCAACTGGGAAATGTGAAATCTTTAACTTTTTTTAAAACACTACTATAACAGAAATTCTTTCCTCGATAGACCAACTGACCAAGACCGCATTCTATTTTTATTTTATTCTGATAACTGGGTATTTGTAAAATAAGATTAACACAATAATTTCATTTTTTTTTTTTTTTTTTGGGTAAGACCACAGATTTCTTTCAATCCACCAAACGACCATGTTATAATCTTTTTTAGATTCGGCGATCACTTAAATTAGCAAAGATAAAAAGTAATCCGAAAAGATAACAACCAACCTCGCGGCTGGCATTGATTCTTTTGGCAGTTACGGGGCAGGGAGAAACCGCGTCAACACAGAATATATAACCGCCTCCAAGTAATAACTAATCCTGACCGTAGATGCTCGAACCCACCGCTTAATCCTAGCCGTTCCATCTGTAACTCCACTGCCTATAAATTCCCCTGACCCGCTTCCGATTTCAGATCGTCTCTCTTTCCTCCTCCTCTTCTCGTCTCATCTAATCCATGCTTCCTTTTTTTCTGTTTTTTTTCTTTGTCGTAGCTCGTTTGCCTTGTCGATAATCTCATCAGGTTTTGTGTTGCATGAGATTGTATATTGTGAATTCGCTTCTTATTTTTGCTTATTTTCGTTAACAGATTTCCTCCACCGATGAATTTGATAGATCGATCGTCACAAGAAGAGAGATCTTTCGTATCGTAATTTCTAGGGTTTCCAATCGGGATTGTTTGGTTTACCAATTCTCTTCTTTCGATTTTCTTGATTATCAAAGAAGATTATTTTGATGCAAATTTTGATATGATCGTTGCGTGTCGCGTGTTTCCAATCCAAGGATGCGATTGATTGAAGTATTGGTTTGGTATCTTTAATAGTTCGTTTATGCACAATTTTTTAATCTAAAACCATATTGGATGTTATGCGTAATTGATGCTAATGCTTTGACACGGCAAAGGAAGATTCATGTGGTTTATGGAATCAAAATTACTCGAATAACAGAAATGCTCAGCCTGTTTGTTTTGTTTTGTTTTTCGTTTTCTTTGTTCATGTTTACTATCGCTTTTTTGTTTTTTTTTTTTTGGTTGTTTTTTTTCCTTGGCTTTCAACATAGGTTTTCTCACACGATGATGGTTTCATCAACTTGCAAAAACTCTTGAGTTCCCTTTTAACTTTGGTTTTCCCTTTTTTTTTTTTTTTTTAACTGATAAATATTAAATCTACAAGATAACTAGTTGGTTAAAGTGTGTTTGTCCAGAGACCCCATTTGTTTTGAAGATTTTATGGATGAAATTCAATCAGGAAGGAAGCAATTCATTGCCTACTGTTTGTGCAGTTTGCTTTTGTCTTGTCATTTTGGTGGGTTTTTGTATCAGCCTGGGCTTTTTAATTTTCTGGTTTCGTTTATCTGTTTTCCAGGTCTCAGGTCTGACTTAAGTAGATGGACCAATGTTAATCAGGGAGTGTTCTATACAGAGTCTACGATTTTTTTTTCATAAGATGTGTGAATTTAATTTGCTTTGCGATTAGAGTTGTTAAGGTCATGATATTGCAGGCTTGTCCTCCGAGTCCATATCGCTTCTGTGACTGACAGATGACTCTGTTAAAACAAAATCCTCAGGCAACCCACAAAAAGAGAGCTTGATACTTCGGTATTTATTGCGACTGATGCACGGACCATTCATATTTTATGGTAACTTTTAATTACGCAAAACTGCGCTCATGATAGTGTACTATACTCTTACTCAAAGCAAATATTGCATAGTCAAGCTGAGCTGGATTTTATGCTGCTTTCTAACCTTGGGTGGCCAGCCTGCATACCAAGAAGGAGGGACACTTCCTGCATTATCATTGGAACTATTCGACGCACATGTTATGCTGATGCAGAAGGGATGACTCTGTAAGATTTTTGTGGCTTGATTGCTTGTTTTGAAGAATCAAGGTTAATCAGGGAATCCCTGATTAAATGCAATGACCATTAATTCATTCATGTTATCGACTTGCAAATTTTTGAGTTCTGGTTGTCTGTATCGTTTTCCTTCCGTGAATTTTGTGGATTAGTGGGTTTGTAGAGTTTTTAAGGTCAGCACGTCCTGATTTGCATTTCTGCTACCTTCTCTTGGTCACTGGTCTTATTGTAGGCTGGTTGTTGGATACGGCAGCAATTCTCAATTCATTGTATGCTGAGTGATGAATGGCTGTAATATGCTGAGAGATGAATTTCTGTCTGGTCTGAGCACTTCTTTTGTCCTTCCCTTCTGTAAGTCATTTTTTTTAATGGACATCAACTACTTATCATAATTATTGCTCTCTGCTCTGCAATCATTTGATAACCGGATTTGCCACCATGGTTACTATTTCTTCTCATGTGAGATTTGTCCCAAAACTTATAGTTGGATCATGAGCCCAACCTAGTCGGTACTGGAATCCTGATTTGTTTTTCACCCATGAGGGCAACTAAACAAGAGATAGACTCTCCAATGCAAGCTTTGGAGTCATTATGTCTTTATATGCGAGGTCAGTTCTACTTCTTAAGCAACAACTTGTTAGCTAGCTTTCCTAGGGTCTTTTGGTGTTTGGGAAATATATAGACTAATCAGGTGAGTGTTTAATGCAGTGCTTTATGTTCCACCATTGTTTTTTTGTTATTTGCATTAGCTTGTAGTTTGCAATTGTGATTTTTGTTGCATGTTTTTTCCAGGGTGTTAAAGATACCTGGGTGAATAAAGATCAGGGAATATTTGTACAATGATATATTGTCATTTTTTACTTGCTTTATCCTTGAAGTGCAGCTGAAGGTAAGGTTGCTGTTGGAATTTGTAGCATTCGCACCTTATTGTATGCTAATGCATGAGGGATGATTTATAAGATATTTTATTTGGTTTCATTTACAAAGGTTATGACTGCTGGTTATATGGAGAAGCTCGTACATAATTTTAGTTCATTGAACTGTGTGCTTGCCTTTTTTTCCTATACAGCCAATGGAAGTGTTGTGGGTGTTTCTGTCAACAATTGAATAGAGAGGATGACCATCTAATAGATTACGTGCCATTTGAACTTGATAATTTATTCTTCTATCTCCTATTTGGTGATGTCTGTTGTACTAAAAGGATGGCCAAAAAGCAGAGCTGTTGTTCATACGATCTGTGTTTGGGTTTGTACTCATTCCTAACCTATGGATACTTATTGTTTTGTTTGATTGGTTACTTCCGTTGTGTGCAAGATATGAGCATTTGTGGATTTAGTGGGCTGATTTCTTAACTATGTGCTGTATTGGAAGAGTTACTATATCTGTGAAGGCATCTGTCGTCAGTTGTTTTGGAGCCTTGTCTAAGAAAACAACCAAAAGTGTTGGCAGACAAGATAAGCTTGTAACTGGTGGTTGTGGCTTTTGTCGGAGTGTACAACTAATTCTCCTTCACTTTTCACGTGGTTATGCATTCAGGTTTCAATGACATTAACACCACAAAGTTTCATACTTGGTTTTCGCATACGATAATGTCTCTTTGTGTTTGCTTTTGGGTCACTTCTTTATCTATGATTTCTCCTCCTTACCTCTCTCATCCATAGTTTTTGAACCTCTGAAAATTTTTATGGATCTAAGCCTTGCTGAAGGGCTTCATATGTTTTCTTCTAGAAGGGATAATGCTTTAATTTGCTCACTTCTCCATGTCGCGGAGCTGTTCTTGGATCAAGTAATGCAATTGGCTCGAAATATGGAGTGTGTTGATATTTACCCTTTTTTGACCTCCCATTTTGCGAAGTAAACATTGGGAACTATTTTCTTCAAGTATGCTGATATTGGTGATATGGTTGCGGCTGACTTAATGGTTGCAGTACTGCTGTTCGAATATTGTAGTAGGTTTCTCCTCTTTTCTCAGAATTTCTTTCTCCTTCTGCATAATTAGTCCCCTTTTGTCGTGACCTAACTACAGGAACTACTTGCAAGCAGGCCGGTTTTCTTTCATATGCTCTGTCTAATGGTAGGAGATGATTCAGTTGTTACCTTTTGTTAGAGAGCATTTTATTTGGATCAAGGACCATAATCCAGGATCAACAAGACTGGATTGCCCGTGTTGTTTGGTTCTGTGACCATCTGAGTGGAAGACTGTTTTTGTTTGGTTTTCTACTGAGGCTCGCGTAGATGATGATGTTTCCAATAACTTGCAAGACATCGAGTGCTTTATAATTTGTAAGTATCAGTTACCAAAATATGACTAGAATTTTTGGGTTAGTTGTGTTTCTCAATAGTCTCCTGAACAGAATTGAAAATTTTATGGACGATTTTGAAGATTGCATGAGCAAAGATTAACCTGGTATTTGATTGTCTCCTCTCCTTTTGTTGTTGGGTTTTTGGCATCAACTTGGCTTCTTAATTTGGGTTTTGATTGTGCATGTTCTAGGGTCTCTAGTGACTTCAAAGACCGACACTGATCAGGGATTGTTGTATACATTGTCTACTATTTCTCTTTATAAATTGATTGAGATTTATTGCTATTCCACTTCTTCTATTCCATCTTACTTTGGGTGTCTCTTGGGCTGCTGTCCGGTTTAATTTGGAATCTTCTGATATGAGATTCATTCTAACTTTAATACTGTAAAGCCAGTTGGATAACTTGATTGTCATAAGGGAATCCCGTTTTGGTGATTTGCAGCTGCACTTGGCTTTTGGGCAGGTGTTGGTAAATGACAAGCTGCAGTCGGTTTGGTTCTGACCACTTTTTTAAGCTGTGAAATTGGTTGTTTTGACCAATTTTTTTATAATCTCTTTTTGAGTGGAGCGACTCGGTTGGTTGTTGACGTGATATTGCCTCTTGACTCATTTTTTTTTAAAAACAAAATCCTTCATTTTATTTCAAGTTTCAACAGTGAGATTAATCCCATAATTTCGGTGTTTAGAGGTGATGGACAAATGGGTCAAATTTTCAGATAAAATAGCATCCTGATGTAACGGAGCATGTTGTTGCTACAAATGTTCAACATACAAGGCTTTTTTTACCAAGTAATATTGCAAAATCAAGCTTGGCTTTATGTTGCTTCTTTTAATGGATGCTGACCTGTGTACAAAGCAAAGCAAGGAGGTAAACTTTGTGAATAATCATTGGAACTATTCCCAACACATGGAATCTGGGTAGACTGTAAGAATCTGAGGTTGATTGTGTTTCTCAAGTCTCATTTCAGTGTTTTGAAGAACTAATGGATTGAAGGTTCAAAAATAATCAGGGAGGTTTTAGCATTGCCTGCTGTCAACACTTTGTTTCTTCTTGCTACGATTGTTGGTATGCACAACCTGTGTTTTTAATTTTGAGTGACAGTTGTGGTTTCCAGGGTGCCTTAACTGACTTGATTGATAAAGACCGGTATTGTTCAGCAATGTATATATTCTGCACTATTCAACGACGGTGTGTGCAAAACAGTGTTTTCCTGTAGTTGTTAAAGGTCGTGATATTCTGGATACCGTCTTCTGCTACCCCATTTTTTTCACTAGTGTTACTATAGGCTTGTTGTCGGACTCGGCAGCCTTCCCTACTCATTGCATGCTGATGTCTAAGGGATAAGGGATGTTTCAGAAAAAAACTTCTGTGGGTTTGATCTCTTCCCTTCCATTTTCCCTGTATTGCTCTCCGTGGTAAGATATATTCTCATATTTTATTGGATAACTTGGCCATCATTCTAATTCATGCTTGGGAAAGGGAAAGTGCCATCCTGGAACTTCAGAGGGAGGTTCAGTTTATGTTGTGGATCTCTGGCTTTCTTGTCACTCACCAAGCTGTTATGATTTCAGGTTTTAATAAGATTAAAATGGTGAGGTTTCAATCTTGGTTCTCACACTGTCACACATCATGAATCAAGATCTTTCCCTATATTATCTATGGGATTGTTTTGGGGTTGCTTCTTTGCTGTGAATTCCTTTCTCCTCTCTCCCCATCTCAGTTGTTATTTTCGATTTTTGAAATGCTATTGGAATCTAATCTTTGATTATGCATTTTTCAAGACTCTCCTTGAAGTAGGGGATAGTGCTTTTATCCTACTGTTGCAGAGTTTTGCACTATTTCTAGCTGTCTGTTTCCATTTGGATGTATCAACTTTGTGGGGCTTTATTATTGTTGTTGTTATCATTGTATCTGGACATCCCACCTTGTAGCAGAGTTGTCCTTGGACCAGGTTATTGCACTTGGCTGGAAAGAAGTTGTTTGATACAGTGATGGCAATACAGCTGCTCCATGGATGCAGTGGTTTACTACTAGCCCTGGCTTTTTTTTTTTTTTTGAGAGTTTTTTTCAGTTTTCCCATCCTGTGCAATTAATCTTTTCAACATGACTTGTTTGATGAGAGGATGATGCTTGCAAGTTTGATTGGTTTCTTTCAGGTGTCCTTTACTTTTGGATTCTTTAGTTTCTCCTGTGATAGGAATGATAAGACTGGACTGTTTTATGTGTTTGCCTTTTGTTTGGACACCACAAGGCTGGATCTGTTCCTTTTCTTTAATTTTCCCTGCAATTATGGGTCTGGGTGAGTGTGCGCTTCTTGGTCTTGTCGACAAATAACAGTTTTGCTACCTGTCTCCTATTTTAATCAGACAGCTAGTTGGGGAGGATTTATAATCAATTCTAAATTCTAATCAAATTTTGTTGTAGCAATCTCTGGTGTAAGGACTTCCTTTCTTTCTTTCAGAAGAGATGTTAGGAGAGTGGTTCTGTAGCTCTTAACGATGATAACTCTTGTTTCAAGATGTGTGCATCTATGATTGGTGGCATTTTTTGGTCTGTTTTTCAAGTGATTCTTAAACATTGTGGTGCTTTTTTCTTCTTCTGTAAATCTTGTTCTTTGTGATTAGGAGGAGATGCATGAGGGACTCATTCTGCAAGCTGCTGTCTGGTTTTTATTTGATTGTTTCCTTTTCTGTCTTTTTCTCTGTTTGCTCCATGATTTAAGAGTTTTTTCTCATGTTAGATTAATTTGTCCTCGATTTTCTCTTGAGATGACTTCCCTTGTTGTGCCAATATTTTGGTTGATTTTTATCCTGGTATGAAATGATTTTTTTTGGTGGCCACAAAGCATGTTGAGCATATACTAGTTTTTTTTATTTTTTTTAGGGCTATAGGCTTCAAAGCCGTTATGATTTTCCTTGATGGTTCAAAATTATGCTTCACTGGGACTATAATTTTTAAAGTTCTTTTAATTTTTCCCTTGCTGTCGCTGATGTCTTTATGTGCGTGCATGCCTGTGTGCTTTTGCTTGTATTCATTTATGTGGGTGTTCGTATGCATGCATGTAACTCCGCCTGTGGTATAAATGCGTCACAGATGGTCTCAAGCCCAGATAAAGGAGGAGAGTATGCATGTACAGATGAACTTGGTGTCAAAATATGCTGCCAGGCACTCAGAAGGGTTGGCTTGAGGGGCTCTAATCGTTTATACAAGTAATCTTGGATTCAAGTTCTTTTGTATGTTAAAATTTTTTTTGTGTTTAACAGAATAGGCGAAAGATTAACTTAGGATAATTTGGAGAATCCAAAAAAAGAATATGCTGCCAAGCAAAGGATGAATGTCCGTAATATAACAGTTAGCATGGCTGTCAGTGGTAGGGAAAATTTGGAGTTAATGATGTGATACACACTATTTAATACCTACCTGGTTCTTCAGCTTAATTTTCCAAATTGATGGCCGCTGTGTCGAAGTGGGGTCAGGAGTGGAGTGAAACAGAAGTTTCATAGCGAGAGAGAACGGTCGTGTTCTTTTATCACTGTGTTAGGCCTATCTATATGTATGATTAAAGTAATTGTCAACGCATATGTGATGCTCGTTGTGTTGTGGAAATTGAATCGGAATAGCGGCAATGAGCAGATAGGTGGCGAGATGAAAAACACGGTCGGGAGATTGGACCTTGGAGGAATGGAGGGTTTGCGCATGTGTAGCGCGCGGCCATAGCGTATTAAGTATGCTTGTCCTCTCTGGTGTTCTCTCATTAGACTGAAATTGGTTAAAGATGGACTGTAATCTCCGTACATTAAAATCAAGATAGCCGCGCGTTACTTTTTGTCGGTCAGTCAGCAACGAATGAGGATACCTGCTCTTCTTGTAGGCTGTAGCAAATTATGGCTTTGCTTCAAGGGGGGTAAACTCGAAACTGACAGACAATGCGGTCAAATAATTTGGCTGTTAGCGACGTTATAGAAACAGTAGAGCTCTCTCTGAATATTTTAAAAATTTCCTGGGTGTGGGTTGGGACTTGGGATACGGATTTTCTTTATGTTTGTGTTGACAACATGACACGCAGTGGCTTCATCAGGATTTGAAGATATGTGTTTTCTTAAAATCTGCAGTGTAGATAACAAGTAGCTTCATCTTCTAAAGAACCACTAATTCCTTGAGAACCACATTCAATACAACTACAAATACTTGAGACAGATCCACTGGTTCATGTTGTGATATGGGATTTTAGAAAGTGGATATCTCCAACTGGACAAGGTTTTGAAGACCTGCCACGGCATAAATAGACAAAAAAACTACTCTTTATTTATTAGTGGGTAATCGGTCGTTACGAGTCCCTAAAGCAAGTTGTTCGAAACCTGAGAGCTGTTATCTTTATGTGTTGCATGTAACATTTGTGTAACATTTGGATTATCTCTTCCGTTCTACAATACTGACTACCAAGATACCGACTGACACCACAAGAAAAACATTTTTTAGCGACGGTTAAAAAATCGTTGCTAATTACTAAAATTAGTAACGGTTTTACTGATCTTAGCAACGATCTAAAAAACGGTTACAAAAGTTTTAATTTGCGATCGTTTTTTAACAACGGTCTACAAATCCGTTGCTACTTTAAAAGGTTAATCGTTTTAGTGACGATTTCCATGAAAAATAAAACGTTGCAAATTTAGCAACGATCCAACCCGTCGATAAACCGTTGCTAAGGAGATAATTGGGTTTAATGATGATCACAACCTGTTGCTAAACCATTGCTACAGATTATTTTATATTTTTGCAACGGTTTTCTACAAAAAAACCGTTGCAAAAAAAATTAAATATTTAGATACGATCTTGGACCGTCACTAAATCCGTTACCAATTGGGCTCGAGCTGAAACGTAAAGCAAATACCCTAGATTAGCAACGGTTTGATATCCTAAAACCGTTACAAAAATATTCGGTTTGCTAAACCGTTTTTAACATAATTAAATTTATGTTTTGCAACGGTTTTGCAAAAATAACCGTTGCAAACAGACAATTAGCGACGATCACGGACCGTCGTTAAAAGTAAACCATTGGTGGGAAACGGTCAAATTTAATTTTAGCGACGGAAGACCGTTGCTAAAAACTTTACCTTTTAAAAGTTCTAGTCGAACGAAAATCCGGAATTCTCTCTTCTTCTCCTCCCGTAGATGACTTTATCCGCCATTTTTTTGCTCCAAACTTCTCCTCTCTTTCCTCAAAGCTTTTGTATTCTAAAAATCTCCCTCTTTCTTTCCTTTTTTCCCCCTCCTTTCAATCTTTCTCTCTATCGTTCAATCCGTCATTTTTCGACGATCATACTCGACGAGGTCTCACTCGGTGGTAGATGCCCCCTCTCATCCTTCTCTTGGTGACGAGTCCACCTAAATCTCGTCCCTCCTTTCAATTTTTAATTTTTTTAGTTATTTATTTAAGTAAAATAATTTGCTTTTTTAATTACTTATTAATGTTAATTTGATTATTGAATTGATTGTTTATTGCATGTGTTTTTTTAACTTGATTATTTAATTAAAATTTATTTGATGTGTTATTTTAGTGTAAATTGTGATAGTTAATTGAAATGTTTAATTGTTAATTTAATATTAATTATTAATTGTTATGTTAATGTTGTTGTTAATTCTTGATTAATTGAATATTATTGTTAATTTCTAAATTTACTCGTTATTTTTATTTTTAGTTGTTGATTGAATTAATTTGATTGTTAATTGTGAATTTACTTACTTTAATTTATTGTTAATTGTTTTAGTTAGAATATATTATTGTTATATTTTATTTTAATTGTTATTGTTATTATTAGTAGTGTAGTTGCTAATTGTTAATTTACTTAAGTGATTAAAAATTTATTGAAAACATTATTAAGTTTATTTATTACTAGTTCATTAAGTTAAAGCATTAGGTAAGTACAAAATTAATCAATAAATTAAATATTAATTAAATTGTAATATATTGTTATTTTGTTGATTAAATATTAAGCTTATATATTTAGTTGTTCATTTAGTTAAATAGATAAGTAATTACAATATTAATTAAGAAAAAAATATAGCATTTTTTCGAAATTATTTTCAATAGATAAAAAATTAAGTTATGACAAATATGTTAAATGCATATTAATTAATTTTAAAAATAAGTCGTATTAAACAAATTAATATATACTTGTTGAATATAGTTTTATTACATTATTAAAAAAAATTTAGTTTTTCCGAAAGTATATTAAATAGATAAAAAATAAAGTTATTAGAAATATTTATAATTGTTAGTAATTAAATAAATAATTAAGTTGTATTTAAAAATTTCATATAAACTTAGCTTGTTTATTTAAAAAACAACTTGTTTGTAACAAAAAAATATTTGAGATTTAGTAATAAAAGTGTTTTAAGTAATTACAAAAATAATTAATACAATTACTTGATTACTATTTTGTTTAAAATGAATTCGGATCGCTTTTGGATTGACTTTAGATTAACTGGTGGATTATTAAATGAGCGTTTTGTAGAAGGGGTTAACGAATTTATTAATTTTACGGTTAGTCATCCATAGTGCATGAATGAAAATAAGATACAATGTCCATGTAAACAAAAAAAATATCAAAATTGTAGTTATAAAAATTACGATACCGTTAAGTATCATTTGCTTGAGATATGGGTTTGTGTTTGGGTATTATGTGTGGAGACGTCATGGAGAGAATGATTTAGCAATTAATGATAATTCGTTTAATAATGTTGAACAAGAACAAATATGTGATGATCGTCAAGTTAATCGATACCACACAATGGTGATGGATGCAGCTGGTCCATCTTTTAATCCGTCTAATACGGACAAAGACCCAAACCCTTCGCACAAACATTTTATGATTTATTAGATGCATCGAATAGAGAAATATGGCCTGGGTCGAGAAAATCATTCATAGTTATACGCAATGTCTCGTTTGTTGCATCTTAAGTCCGAGCATTATTTTTCGGAGAGGTGTTACGACGATTTATATCAACTTATGAAAGAGTTGATGCCTCCCGATAACTGCATGCCAGAAGACTTTTATAGTACAAAAAAATGATAGAAATGATGGTTTACCCGTTGAAAAGATCCATTGTTACATTAATGGTTGCATGATTTATTGGGGTCGGGACAACGAGAGAATCACTTATAAAATATATGATCATCCTCGATATCGAAACCCTTCGGAGAGAATCACTTGTAAAATATGTGATCATCCTCGATATTGAAACCCTAGGCGGAGGTCGATTAGATAAACATTTGTCCCCTACAAAAAAATATATTATTTTTGATAATCCCACGATTACAAAGGATGTATGCATCAAATGCCACCGCTAATGACATGACATAGCATGCGCAATATGTGTGTGAGCCCAACGTCATGCGTCATTGTTCGGACTCCTTCGTATGATGACATTTTGACCAAACACATCCTTCTTTTGCATCGAAATTAGGAATGTTAGATTAGGTGTTTGCATTGATGGGATTCAATCATTTGGTAAGTCCGGAAAAAATATTCTTCGTGGCCTCGTTATTGTAATACCTTATAATTTGTCACCATGAAAATGTATGAAAGAAGAATATATATTCTTAATCGTTATTGTCCCCGGTCCCGAAAACCCTAAAATCAATTTAGACGTATACTTACAACTCTTAATTAAAGAGTTGATAGATTTATATGAAGTAGGTGCCCTTACTTATGATGTCTCCCGTAAAAATAATTTTCGGATGAGAGTCGCTTTCATGTAGACAATTAGTGACTTTCCTGCATATTCAATGTTATCGGGTTGGAGTACTGCGGGTAAGACAGCATGCCCGTATTGTATGAAAAATTCGATGCTTTCACCCAACGAAACGACAGGAAAACTTCATGGTTTCATTGCCATCGAAAGTTTCTTCCACTAAGCCATCCGTTCGGGCGAAATAGGATCGCGTTTAAGCAAAATTCAATTGTTACGGACATTGCTCCCCGATCAAGTCCGAAATTGAAATTTTACAAGAATTAAACAATTGAGGGTTGTTGAAAGTGACGAAAGAGGGATCCGATGAGTATAATAATAATATATCTAAATATTGTGGTTGGAAAAAATATAGTATATTCTACCTTATTAGAGTTCTAATATAATACGTCATAATTTGGATGTCATGCACATTGAGAAAAATGTATTCGACAATGTGTTTAATACAATTATAAATGTCTCGGGAAAAATAAAAGATAATGCAAATTATAAAGAAGACTTAAAGCTATATTGTCGATGACCCAAATTAGAAATAGATAAAAACTCAAGAAAATATCCAAAACCCTGTTATGCTCGGACAAACAACAAAAAATACAATTACTAAAATAGATTAAACAACTAAAGTTTTCGGATAGATACGTCTCTAACTTGGTAAGGTGTGTGGATATGAATAACCTCGGATTACATGACATGAAAAGTCATGATTGTCATGTATTTATGCGAAGGCTAATACCTATTGCATTTCGTGATATGTTACCAACAAATGTATGACAATCACTGATCGAGCTTAGCTTATTCTTTAAAGAATTAACATCTACTATGATTAAGGTTGAAGATATGATTTATCTTGAGAAAAATATACCAATAATCTTGTGTAAATTAGAGTGTATTTTTCCACCTAGTTTTTTTGACTCAATGGAGCATCTTCCCGTACACTTGGCATATGAAGCAAAAATAGCCGGACCTATATAATATCGATGGATGTATCCATTTGAAAGGCATAAGTTTATAATTTTAATGGACATCCGTAAGTTTATAACTCGTCAAATATTGATTAAGTCTAATGAAATCACAATATTATTGTAGATACCTTCGTAAATTAAAAAATAATGTTAAGAACAAAGCCGAGTCGAAGGGTCAATATTCAATGCATATTTAGTTGAGGAAGTTTCGATGTTCGTTCATATTACTTCGAGCCTCATGTACACACTAGGCATCGAAAAATGCTTAGAAACTTTGAGTGTGATCAAGAACCGAATGACGATATTGAAGGCATATTAGCAATATTCATTCCTAAAGGTAGACCTCTTGGTCGAGCACGATCACATATCTTGATAGATCAAGAAAAGAATGCAACGTACACTTACATTCTATTGAACTCGTGATGATGTCACACCTTACACGAAGTGAGTTTTATAACTGTCAAATATTATTACTATATATTTATTCATTAACTATTATTTAATTTTAAAACAAATAATAACAATATTTTTATCGTCGGATATTTTATCACTTAACTTCATGAAAGTGACCCCGACATATCGAAAAATGAGATTGATTTTCGACTTCAAAATCAATTTGCATCATGGTTCCATCGATATGTGAGTATTACAAAGTCAAGATTGTTATTAAATATTTATAAATTCATTTTATCAAATTTTATAATAACATTACCTTATAATTAACCCGATCCTTACATACGAGCAAGTCGAGCATAACCTAAAACTGTAACGGATCATTATATTAAAGATTTGGCCAAAGGACTATTGCGAACTGCGAAGTCATATACGGGGTAAATTATAAACGGATATAAGTTTTATACCGATGTTGGTGATTCGGAGAGAGCATTAATGTGTAGTGGAGTGTGTGTAAAAGGAGTTAGCTACGGTGTGGTGAAAAATGACTACTACGAGAGGTTGATTGACATACTCAAACTTGAGTATCCAGCCTTACCAATAAAGAAAACCGTTTTGTTCAAATGTGATTGGTATGCTACGACACCTGGAATCGATACACGAGTTCATGATCATTATGGACTAGTCGACGTTCATAGTCGCAGGTATTCAAATAGATCCGATCCCTTCATACTAGCATCACAAGCACATCGGGTGTATTATGTAACATATCCTACATGTAAAGCATACGACGAGATTGGTTAGCGAGTATGTAAGGTTAATCTAAGGTCGATGGTAGATGTGCTAGAAATGTACGTTACCGTCGACCAAACAAATATCGAACCATTTCAAGAAAATGAAATAGAAGGCCAACACAATGTCATCCACGTTGATGATGATGAAGGTTAGTCATTGATTGATCCTACTTGGAGCATTATTAGAATTGGACGGTGGTGAAATAGATATTCGGAATGAATCGGAGTTAGAAACCGATGTTGAGGAGGACTTAAATGAAGAATGTGACAATGATGATCATGATACCGATTAGAGATAATATGGTATATTCCGAGTAGATTATGTTATATTGTATTTTTTATTCAATTCATAAATTATGCACTTGAATTTTATGTAATTGCAGTATGAATTTAAGGATTTAGGCAACCTTGTCCTCCCGGGTTGTTGGGATAGGTCTGGTTTTGTCACCCTAGTGTAATTTTTCATAATATTTTAATAAATCTCCGAGGTACCGTCCCCGTTCTATCATAAAAAAGAAAAAAATTAGGTTTATTATTATGTTTACCTATATAGTTAACTTATACTTTTTAAAGGTAATATTTAATTAAATAAATGATTTTGATTTATTATTGTTTAAATATAAATCAACTTGTTCATATTAATTTGAATATTATATGTAAGTATATATACATTATATAATTAATATTTTATTTAAATACCATTGAATTTAATAATATATATATAGGTCATAATGGGTAGAGGTAGGGGTCGTGGTTCGGATATCGATCGGTTTGACAATGATCGTGGACGTAGACACCCTTCTCATTCCGTTGACGGTCGGATGGATCCCCCATCGGACATGCCTCCGTACCACTCTTCCGATGGCCCCTCCATATACCGTTCCATGCCCGATATGTCTCGGCCTCGGCCATTTCCTTATTATGGACCTCCACGTCGACCTTACTCATCTTTTCCTTCGTCGTCGTCGGTGCCTTCGTCATCACATCGGGATAACCGTTCGTTCCTTAACAAGTTCCACCCAATAACGTCCCGCGTCAATTGGCTTTGGAACCTATCACATATGCGGTTGACCATCGAGTACGGGTGATTGTCGTTGGGCGCAATGAGTACGATTTATGCTTAATTTAATTAAAAATTTTTTATTACCGTTATTATGTACTCGATTATTTATTAATTTAATTAATGTTTATTTTTTGTAGGTTGTATCCCTCCGATGTTTGCTCTCGCTCGATCATTAAGACATTCCAAGAGTATGTTCATATTTCGGGATGGATATGGAAGAAAATGAGTCTAGAGATAAAAGACTTTTACTGGGAAGAATTTAAGGTACTAATTTCTAAATTTTATTTGATTATATTATTTAATATTTAATTAAATAGCATAAAATAATATGTGAATAAATTTAGTAATGTTTATTATTATTTTTTTAGCGTAAATCATTTAAGTGGGATGATGATTTGAACGAGAGCATAGTTAAGAAAGCATGAGAAAGTCTCGTATGGAAGCGATATTCGACTTTCTTTGTCGTCGAAGAAAAAAACCAAAGCCAGTATTTATGTCACAAGAAATATGGGATGCATGGACTACGGAATGGATGAAACTCGAGGTCGTTGCCCCGATTTAAGATGGCAACATGGAACCGTAGGAGCGAGACTCGGTGGCGTCGGAGCCGATTCTTCTAGACATACGGGGGATCAATCAGCCATAGAGAGCATGCCATATGCATGGTAAATAAATAAATATTTATTTATAATTTTTTTAAAAATAATACCCAAAATAATTAATTAAACATTTGACTATATTTAATACATTTACGTTTATTTATATATGCTTTCAACGTAATGTGTTGGGTCATGAACCCGATCCTTACGAGGTTTTCTTGAGGACTCATAAGAGAAAGGTTGATGATCGGTTAGTCTTCAATGGTCGAGGGTTATCGGAGTAAGTGATAACTTTGAAACATTATTTAATATTTGTTAGTTAATAACGTTATTTGACATACGTATTTAATATGATGTGTTTCATAATTATACAGGAGACCGTACAAAGATTAATTAATGAGAAAGAAGTTGCTAGCCGATAGTCGGGAGGGACTAAATCGATCACACCCGACATTAATGACATATTTCGGAGGGCCATTGGTGGAGGAGATAGTAGGAGGAAGAGGATGTATGGACTCGGGTTACATGCATCTCACTATTATTCTACTCGTCAATGCGAGCTCATCTTCTCGCTACTTTTAGATTCAATGCAGTCGATGAGGCACAATTGAAGGAATTACAAGAGTAAACATCCGCAAACACGACACACATCAATAACTTAGAGGGTACTCGTCAACAGCTTACAAGGTCAAGTGGCATCGTTATTGGATACGACAAATGAGTTGAGAACCTATAGTCGACAACGAGTATACGATGATGTCACAAATGCAGCGGATGTTCATGCGGCATTTTGACCATGGTAGTAGTTCATCCGTCGTTCCCGAGACCGACGACTATACAACCTGACCTCCGGACGACTCCACCCAACCTCCGACCGATCCCGGATATTAATTTATTTTAGCTTTTACATTTTCTTGTATTAACTACAACTTATGTATTGTTTTTTGTTATTTAATAATCATTTAATTATTTAATGACGTTTTAATACATTTCGAATAATAAAAATTTACGTTTATGATATTTTATGAGATTTTGGTTATTTTAAAATTGTTACTTTTATCTCATTTTATTTCGATTGAAAAAAAAATTATTTTCCTAATTAGCGACGGTTTTAACAACGGTCTAGACCGTCGCTAATCCATCTCTATTTAGCAACGAGACTTACCAAGGGTTTAATAGACCGTCGCTAATTTCGCAAGACATTTAGCGACGGACTAGCAACGTGTTTTACTCGTTGCTAAATTATACCGACTGTCACTAATGAGTCACAAATTCGTTTTGGCAATGGTTTTTTTTAATTTAGCGACGGTTTTATCCGTTGCTATTGTGCCTTTATCTTGTAGTGAGGAAGAACCAAATAGGAAACACTAATTAACCTACTTAAAAACATCAATGCAAGTTGGCAGTCATTGATGGAAGTAAGTTGGATAGCTGGCCTTTCCCTACGCTGATAGGAAGCAATTAAAGGTTCGGTTGCTGCGGGTTTTAGTTAGCCTGAATGGGCAATTGTGTTTCCGTGTACCCCCACCTAGGTAGGAAATAACAGATATATAAAGTTGGCGAAGCTGCCCATAACACCAGTGCAGGCAACGGTGTTCCTCTGTTGCGTGGGAGGGAAGTCTGCTGTTTTCTACGGAGAAAGAAACAGCACGCGGACATCTTCACTAAAGTTCTCGACTTGTTTTAAGAACTCCCACAGGCCATAGACAATCTCTACGCCGTATCTCTTTCTGCATTGGTTGAGGGTGGCCATAATTAAGCGTGGTAGCGTTTTATTCACTTTATCAGAGAGCAACGAAAATGAGAGAGAGCTAAGGTCTATTAATCAAAGAAAAGGTCAGGCCCAGAAGAAGAGGGATTGCAACAAACAGAGTCTTAAGCCATGGGAAATGTTTTGGAGAAGATACTTCGTACTATAATTTTTCCAAACAATGATTCACCAATCGTACATAATACAAACCTAATTTTCAAGCATTTGAGTAAAAGGACCGTGGAGAAAGAGTAACAGTTTTTTTCAGGCAGTGAGAGGATACATGCTAATGGCCTAGCTTCTTCCTTAGATGGTTACTGATAAGAATTAAATGGAGCATCAAGGTTAATGGCTAGGGATGAGGACGAAATGTGGTTTAAACTTCAACTTGACAGGATTAATTCACCCGCTGCCTGCTGGACGAAGAATAAAGATTTTCTTCGAAGGGAGAAATTCTTTTTAGAAGACTGTTCCTTGGCTTGAGCACCACCTCTGAGGACTACTACTGGAAATGGAGGCTGTGGATCGATATGCAGATTCCACGGCCTTTTTGTTCAGATGTTAGGATTATCACTTCCTTTCCCAAAGCTAGCACTCCTTTCTTTTGAGTCATTCTTTCCCTTTTCAATGAAAAGCCAGGTTTTCTTTCTCCTTGCATAACGTAAGGAAGATAGGTCTGGAGGCCTAAGGGAGAAAGGAAAAAAGTCAGTGACGACAGAGCTAGAAATCACTAGAGGCATTCGAATTCCCTGTTCTTTAACCCGCCGGTCTACTGCACCTCATGTAGCACTATCTCCACCCTACCAGGAATAAGCAGACGCCGGCCCGTAAGCACCTAGCTCTCCCTTTGCATCCCGTCTACTTTTGCGGAGGAAGCCGTCTTCTCTAGGAAGGAAAGCTTCCTCGAAACTCGAAAGTCCTTTACTAGTCAAATATATCAGCCTGTAAATGGAGAGAATAGGCAAGCAAATAAGGACTTACCGTGGGATGACTAGGATGAGCACTAGGATAGTAAGGCTTACAAGTTGCAAGCTAGATGTCGCGTCTGAAGGCATAACAGTGATTCGTGTCTAAGAAAGATGTTTTGCCTTCATTGGTCTTAAAAATGATCTTTCAGTTGCTCTACCTTCAGGGGGACTGAGAGCTTTCTTCGCTGCATGGGAGCAAGTTCTTTCAAAGAATCGCTGTTATACAAGAGAAGAGATAGAAAGTTAGAAAGTTAACTGCTAGATCCGCCTGATCCCTAAAAGGTTGATACTTGATTGCAAAGAGTAAACCTGCAAAACGATTTGAACCATCTGAGGGCGGATGCCAAGATTACATGGCATTACTTGGTAAGTTGAAGTCACTGCAAATCATTAACTAATGAAGTATGCACTCATGAATTATCATACATAATTACTAGAATTTAGCATAGACACTCGTTAATTTTCTGAAGGTGATCATTCAGAAGTCATACTCCATGATTGAATACCTAACATTAATTCTGGCACGCTTATTTCATATCAAGAGAAGTAACAATAACAAAAACTCTTCCCATCCCATGAAAGGCTTATTGAGACCAATTTGTTATCTTGTAATGCTTTGTTTTTTTTTTTCCTTCTTTTAGATGCATGCGAAATCCTACTAATTGTCTTCTATTTATGACTAAATATTTATATGGATGAGGTGACAAAAATCCTTGCTGATTATTTCACAACATGCAAAATATGCTTATTTCAATTTCTTGCCATTAAATAAAACGAGCGACTCTCTCTTTTTTTACTTAATCCTATAAATTTTATAAGAGGAGATACTGGATAGGATGAATTACCAGCAAACAAATTATAGTTGATATTTCTCGTCTGCCAAAATCATGACAACTTTTGATCACTCTCCCCAAAGACCTCAAGCCTGCAGCCGTAATATACTAACATGTACCTGGCTGGTTAGTGTGTTGGAAGCCTTGAGGGAGAGTGAGAAATGATTGCCACCCTGAGACCATTGAGAGCCTTAAGCAAGACATAGCTTGTTTATACCCCCTCAAGAGCCTCCAGCCTGCCTCATACTTTGGTAGTATATGTTTCGTCGTAGAATACAAAAGCATCATTACCAGTTGGGGCAAAGGGGAAGCCCTTGAGGGAGAGTGAACAACCAGTGTCTTGAAGATCCATGCATGGAGAAAACCTATGCTTTCTTACTGTCCTGACTCAATCAAGAAGGAGCAGACCCTCGTTATATAGACCGAGAAAAAAAAAACCTCACTTGAGCAGCAGAGCCAATGACCTTGTCACAAGCCAGAGCAAATGTGTGTGTGACATGCACCGGAAACTTTGTGGGCACTCCACTCTGTGACACGTGATATTAGTGGCGCATCCTTTGATTCCAAGAAGGGGTTTCTCAAACCCAACCGGATGCGAAGAGCCACTGCAAGTCAGCCCTCGTGGATAAAGAATAATGTAGCTTTAGGCATCCCAACCATATCCATTATCTCATTAAGTCCACGCAAGAACAATTCCTAATCTCTCTAACATATCAAAAGTTGGGATGTGTAATAATCTCTGTCGCAATCAAACGTATCATATTGTTTTTATCAGCTTGCCTATTTCTTTGTTCTCCTAGCCATAAGGCTCTCTGGTGTATCAGTTCGAAAAAAAGAAGTAGTAGTTTAGCGTGAACCTTCCTGGAATTTAAATCCTTTTAAAATTGAATCATTTTATTAAAATTATTTTGCTAGATTTTATAGATTACATCCGTTAGTTAATAGCTACAAATTGTCTAGAATCAATATCCGCTCGACCAAATTTCATTAAATAAAAGTACAATTGGTAATTTTAATTAGCTATTAATTAATAAACTGAACTTATAAAATATAAAAGAATGGTCTAATTTTAAATAGGCCAAAATTATGAAAAAAAATAATTCTATTTTTCTTTTAAGTTTAGACAACAATTCTCAAATCACATGAAGTCTTGGAAAAAAATTGATCAATTTGGTCAATGTTACAAAATGCGCCGCATCTCACTCCCAACCTTCTCTTGAAAGGATACTTGACTTGCACAGTCCGCCGCATCTCGCTGTTGCCTTGCGACTTGAAACTAAATGGAAAGATAAAAAATGAAATAGTAGGTAGGAGATTGAGGAATAAAGATTGATTATGTTTAAGCTTATTAAATCCAGCTACCAACCCCATTTTCTTTCTTTTATCACCGTTATAACCTTCCCTGTATGGCTTTATGCCCCGACACTAGCGGTGTTTTAGAACAGGTGATGTGCTTCGGACAAAGCATGACAGTGATGCTCAAAATAATTGATAAAATGACGCTGAGGATTCTTTTTAGTTTCTTTATTGCATTGATTTAGTTATATAATAATAAAGTTTCCAGATGTTGTCGCAAGTAAAACTATATAATATATTTTAATATCTGAAATAACTTTAAAAAATCTAGATATAAAATAAGAATTAATCAATAATTATTATGGAAATTTGTTTAATTTAACATTTATTAGCTAGCCTGTATTTAATAAAATATTTATATGTTATGTTTGAATTTCAATATATCCTATAAATATGTTATGTTTTAATCAATAAAAAAATTATTAATTATTTATTTATTTTAAAAGAAATCAAATTAGAAGAGAGTGCTGAATCATTTAAAAAAAATCAAAGGGTGTTGCATTAATTTTTATTAGAAAAATATTTAATTTTAGTTAATGAGTCTTGAACAAAAAAAACATTAACTATTAAAAAAATATTTTGAACAAATAATAATAAGGAAAAAAATAAAAGCATAAAAAAAAGGAGGCTAGGTTGGGATGTGCAGTAATCCTGTATAGATGAGTCTAGAGACAACTAAATTCGCATATCTGGACAAAAATTGGAACCCAATCATCTTAAAAAAAACGAAAAAGAAAAAGAGGCGGGCGAGACCGCCACCAACGGTGGGGCTGCAACCATGTCGCCACCGTATGCTAATATTTGGTCTGTTAGAAAAAATAAAAGCTGTTGTTTTTTGGCCTCCACCATCAATTTCTACTCAATTTTCACCTAAAAACACCGTAAAATCATCCTAAAGACTTGTAAAAATCTATTTTGAAACTTAAAATGCGTTCTAATGCACTTACAAATCCAAGAAACTGAATCCTCCTTCCTTTCATACCTTCTCTCTCCTTTATCAACATTGAGACACCTTGTAGTAACACAAAAAAAGTTTAGGGATTGTTTCGTAAAAAACTATAATTCTAAAGACCAAAGTATAAAAAAAATATTAGACTTCCTAAAAAATACCTTAAATTTTTTGGTAGAACGAGGCCGTTTGAAAAAAAAAAAAAAAAAAACTTAAAACCACGCTATTTTATTGACTGCAATAGGAATTTCTCTACTGTAAAACACTATTTTGTTTTCTCCATAATATACATATTATATTGGAATGCTCGAGTTTTATAAAACACAAGGTCACTGGTAAACAAAAGCGACATGAAGGATTTCTAGATATAAGAATGACTTGGAATTTGAGATGTGGTGTATAAAAGAGCTTATGAATCCAGATTCTACTGTTCAAAACACCACAACTCCAGCTAGCCTGGATAATTCCAACTCATCCTTGCAGCTACACAAGGTTAAGCTTGAAAGTTAAAAATCTACGTTAAAAAGCAGTCAGATATACCACATGCATGAGGAAATAAAATAAGAAGGTCAGAAATTGCTAACAGGAAGAAGAAATTATTGTAGTTTAAGAAAGGAAAAAAAGAGCTCGGTAGCATTCACTGCCATTTATTACCTGCTGCCCTTGCTCTAAATCAGCGGCTCCGGGCCTCCAGCAAGCACTGGGAAACGGAGTGTGTTGATATAGTTCTGAGTAAACATATTACTATAATACATAGCAACTAGCATCTCATTGTAGTGGACGAACAGCGTTTTAAAATTCTCAAATTATCGAAAAATGAATCAATAAATTAGTTCGTGAATCTGAATTGAGGGGTATTGTCAAACCTTAAATTCAATATCTAAGGTGGAGTCAATCTGCAAACAGCATGCAGTTGCAGCTGGCAGGTTAATTTAACAACAAAAGCATGGCTACCGTACACATATAACACAAAGATATGAAGAGCTGACAACTGAATTGCAGAGCAAAAACGAGTAATATTCCAGAGATAAAAGTTAGAGGTTCTAGAGGCCATCAACTCATCTGATCTTGGTTTTGGTCAGCTACATATGTCTCTATGCATAAGAGCCACACAGATTTCAACCATCAAAATTTATCATTAGAGGCTGCTTCCATGATTCATGAGATGAGCAGATTAATGATTTAAATATAATTATAACATTCCACCAGTATTTTATGTCTCTGAATTTGAACAGCCATTAGCTAGGTCAATTATATTAACTGAAGGCATAAACTATTACATGGTGAAACAGGATACAGATCATCAGTGCAAAAAAGTTTTCTTTTAATGGTTTCATGAGTTCAGAAGCCATAGCTCTAAAGTTTTGCACAAGTTTGAAGAGAAGAAAGCACATGCTATTGCTGCATGCCTCCTTTTGCAAGGTGCTTCCTGAGACTGCAAACTTGAGAACAAGTTTCTGGCCCCATAATTCTGCATAACCTTGCGAAATCTATGTTCTTAATCCAGAAAGAAACTTTCTATAACAATGCAATGAGGATGGCCCCTTTGAGCAGTATCTATAGACCAGGGCATGGCTATTGATGCATAAAGTAGATTTGCATCTAATTTACCAACGATCTCTTGGTCGGCCATCAGGAAACATTGGATTGAGCACCTTCTCTTTGTCATTTGTTGCAGTATCTGGCTGGCTAATTGATTTGCTCAAACGAAGTTTCACAGTTCCACCATCATCATCAAAATCTGGAGGCATATCATCATCTTCATCACTCCAATTGTCTTCATAATCATCATCTTCATCGTCATCAAGCTCATCACCACTCATGTAACTATCAACATCAGACCAATCTTCAGCCTGCTCACCACTTCCATCTTCTTGCCCAGAAATTCCATCTTCTCCACCTGCCGCATCTGTCTTTGGAGCACCTCTCCTAGGGAATCTAGGAACCGTAACAAGAGAACGAAGCTTCTCTTTTATAAGCAACAGCCGGTCCTTCTCTACTAAATGAGAACCACAATATGCTTCCCTTAGGAAAATTGAATCCCTTTCCCCTTTCAAAGACACATAAAACAAATCAGGATGTCTAATTAGCATCCCCCTCAGCTGCTGAGAGAATCTAAACTCCTCTCGAAAATGAGTAAGGTGATCAACAAGGGTCCTCTTTTCAACAGTGAGACTCAAAATCTCATGAACAACCCCACAAGCATGCTTTTCCTTCTCCTTTGAACCTGATCTCAAATGGGAAAAGTCTGAATAAGGAGATATGTAAGGTATGTCTCTAAACTGGCAAATCCTTCTCATTTCACTCTTGGAAAGCTGTAGACCCTTAGGCAGCTTCACTCTGTTAAACTTTAGTGGTCGATCAATAATCAAATCTTTCTCTTGTAGCTCTTTGGCCCGATTCTCCTCTTCAGCTAATTCAGCTGCTGATACTGCAAGCTCGGAATCCCAATGTGTTAATTCTAGCGCAGGACCCCTTCCTGTTGCAACAACTCTAAAGTATTGTGGATATCTATGACAAATCGTATCCCGAAATTCAAACGGTAATCCAAAATCAGTCCTCAAATGGGCTATTTTCTCCAACAAAATCCGCTTATCCATAGACATCATCAACAATTTCCTCAACTTAAGAACTAACAGATCCTCCATCTCATTCCTAACCTTCAACTCCTCTAAATAAAGCCTTTCGGCCTCAGGCGTCAATCTGAATTGCAATGAATAAACCCCTTCTTCCACAATCTCAAACACAGCAGGGAATTTTTTCAACAAAGCAATAAATCGGCGCTTTTTTGTAAGACCCAATTCTCTTCTAAACTTACCCAATTCCCTAAGTGACATAACTCTATCCGGTTGATTAACCAAAATCTTCCTTATCTTCGTAACTAATTTCAACTTCTTGTCCCTGTCAATCACGTTATCAAAAGGACGCTCCTTTCTCCACTTTACACCAGCAGCTCTAATGGGCTCAAATGGAACATAGGTTTTTCTTAATTTACCGGTAAAAGAACCATTTTTCTCTTCAAAAACCAAACCATTGCCTAAAAACTGCGACTTTTCTAGTTGAAATGATGACACAGAGAGATGGGTTCTGACAGAAAGTTTGGGTCTTTCGAGGAAATAAAAAGATTTTTGTGAGAGAAGAAAGGGTAAAGGAGCAGCTAGTGAAGCAGTAGATGAGGATAACAAGAGCTTAGGCTCCATATTTAAGCTTAAGCAATTTTAGACGAAGAAAATGTAAAAGAAAATGAGGTAAGTGAACAGAAGAAGAGAATCAATATTACCTGCTTTAATCATAGACCAAGATGTGGTCAGGCTATGGAGCGTTTGAGCTGTAGATAGCTGAGTTTGGAGTCTCACTCTCTCTTTCTCTGGGGTTTATCTCCAAAGAGCAAAAACCCTTTCGTTCTCTGATTGCTGCCTGCATCAGATATTTTGATCTTTTTCAATTTTCATGTCATATAGTGACAAAATACAAGGACAAAAATGTCATATTGTGTGTATCATTTGGGCCTAGCAAAGAGCCTTTTCTAAAGCCCAAATTTAAATCAAACCGCAAGTCGTTTCAGCTTGTTTCCATTTCCCATATGACTGACTATGTGACAATGGAAGTTGGTTATTCACTAGCCAGCTACAGTGGGCATTGAGTGCTCAACTCTCAATCCATCAAATGGCGAAGAAGCGAGACCGGCGAGTAGCGCCGAGTTCGGATCATCATCAAACCCGAGTCAAAACGCCCACTCGAGCGGACCAATTCAGCGAGTCATCAGCTTCTGATCGCAAGCTGATGACCGTATTCATCGTCTTCTTCATCGTAATTCCTGCAGTATCTGTACTCGTATACCGTATCAAATACGCTCCAAATACGGACGCATCATATCCACAGTTTCAAGAAGGCGGACTCGTTAAAACCGACGTGAATTATCAAGAAATTCTCGACGTAAGTACTTTCACTTGCTGTTAACCTAATCGCTGCATTGACTTCATAGCAGAAATAGTAAAAAACTTCGTTTAAATTCGAAATTTTGGTGAAATATTTTAGGAGAATACCAAGGTTTCGAAGAATGAATCTCACCGGCATTATACATATCCTGTATTGGCCTACATTACTCCATGGTATATTCTGTGTATTTTCCTATGGCATTGTATTTTGTGCTTTATTATTTATTTATTTTTGTGGTGAATTAGTTACTACGGTTTTCTGACAACTTTATTAGGAATTCGAAGGGATATGACATGGCGAAGCGGTTTACTAATAAGATTACGCATTTATGTCCTGTTTGGTATGATCTGAAGAGGTGTGTATTTTTTTATTTAATTTAGGGCAAATATAGAAGGAAGAAAGAGAGGAAGAACTGGCTTTTCTTGTATTTATTGATTGTTTTTTTTTTTGTCGCCAGCCAAGGTACTGGGTTAGTTCTGGAGGGGAGACATAATGCTGATATGGGATGGATTTCAGAGCTTAGAAGGAATGGAAATGCTCTGGTAATTACGAAGTTCTATTTTTAATTTTCTCTCTTCTCCTTTTGTAATGGAGAATCATGTGGATTTGCTATTTAAAGGAGTGAACAAAATGCAATCCTTAGCTGTCCGATAATTGATCCAAGTAATACTCTCTAATCGTGTGGAATTGGGCATCAGCAAATTGGACAGAGCAGTCACTAGCTTTAGTGAACTTATATTTTCAATTATAAGACCAAACTCTGTGTTTTTCTAGTCTAGATCCTATTACTTTCAAAGTTATGAGAATTTTTTGTCAGTCCTTAAAATTTTTCCTGGTGTGCTTTTTTTTTTGTTTAATTCAATGTTAATCTTGTATCAACCTGCACGGATCATTTAATTTTTTGTTGTGGTAAACTAGTATTTTGATTGTAGGTATTACCTAGAGTTGTTCTGGAAGCATTTCCCAAGGAGCTGCTTAAGAAAAAGAAACTGATAGATAAAGCTATTGACGTGATAATATCAGAGTGCAAGTAAGCCTCCACGTATTTTCATGATATCGTGTTTAAATAAGACCATTTTTATAGTAAAGAACTTATCCTTGTCTTTGATTTTTGTTTTACCATCATTTTTGTTCTAATTCATATCTGTTCCTAGGATTGTTTAGTATAGCGGAACAAAAACTAGAGCCTTTCAAATTCTCTCTTGCGTGTGGATATTTATAACCAGCGGCAATTTCATTTGGTTCTGTTCAGGGTTTATAATTTTAGATCCGAAACTACTCAAATCAATCTAGCCTATTCATTAAGCATATTCAAAAATGTTGTCAACAATTTAGATACATGACTTGAACATTTTATCTGAAAGCCTTAACAGATGCATCCAAGGTCTTGCTTACCTCTCTCTATCAAAGCAAATTCAAAAATGTGAAAGAGTATTTTAAACTAACCAATGCTATATATTGTTTAAATCTAAAATATATTTTCAAGTTGTCTTAACACTGATCACTTGATTTCTATATTTTGGAAAATTTCTTATGTAAAATGAAATGATTTACAATTCCTTCAGGCATGTCTGGAATGGCCATCAAGATATTTCATTCATACTCATGAAATGCTCTGAGATCCAATTTCCTATAATTATGACTACACAAATGTTCCAATAAACTATGAACAGACATTATTGACTCATCTGTATATGGATTCCTAGGTGTTCAAAATTTTAGCAGTCTCTTACCATACTTGGTAAAAAAACCATCCATTTGGCTTTGCTTTAGCTCTGGTTGTCTGGTTGATTCTCCTCTCCTCTATTTGTAGGGAAATGGAATATGATGGCATTGTGCTTGAGTCCTGGTCAAGGTGGGCAGCTTATGGTGTCTTGCATGATCCTGAAATGAGGAATAAGGTAACTCTTAAATTATATGAGGCAACTTCTATAGCTCAATTTTTGTTAGGATCATATTTTTATTAAAACGTACTGAAACATTGTGTGGCTATATATATAGTCCATGTTAACTTTTTTTAGTGTCTTATTTATAAAGCAAACTGGTGAGTAGAAAATTGTTAGTTCATATATAAATTAGTCCATTGTGAGTTTTCTCACTTCGATATGTGACCAAGAGGTTCATATAGCCATTGTGACTCCTAAAACATATAAGTTTTTCCTGATTTTATACTCTGTAATCTTATTCTTCATAATCCATATGCCAGTAGATAAAAGTTTTCTTGATTTTCTACTGTGTGGTGTATCAAATTTTTGAGATTTTGAGGAACATTTCCTGGTTTGCAAGCCTAGGCACTGCGATTTATAAAACAACTTGGGCATGCACTGCATTCAGTAAGCTCATCAAGGAATGGGAAGCAACATTTACAATTGGTCTACGTTATTGGTCCGCCTTATTCAGAGAAGCTTCAACCTCATGACTTTGGTCCAGAGGATCTTCAGAGCTTGCATGATGCTGTAGATGGTTTCTCGTTCATGACCTATGACTTCTCAGGTCCTCATAACCCAGGTCCAAATGCACCATTGAAGTGGATCCGTTTCACTCTGCAGATCATCCTTGGCAACAGTGGTGCTCAGGCCCTGGTCAATAAGATATTTCTGGGGATCAATTTTTATGGAAATGATTTCATGCTTTCTGAAGGTACTTCTCTTTATTTTTCATTCATTTATCCCCTTCACTTATTTTTCTTTCATTAAATCTTATTTTTTGTTAATTTTTTGGTGATTGATTTTGGATATATTCTTGTTTGACTTCAATAGTTTTGGACAAGACACCAATAAGCATATAAGCATTTGGCTAGCAGCGTTGGGTTTCTACCCTTTTGCCTTCCCATTTCAATGTGTAGCTTTGGACTGTTGGAGATTCAACTTCTGGGGGGTGATGCATTCATATATCATCTTATATAACAACACTTAAAAGGAATGGGTCTGGACAAACGAACAATAGATTATAGGATCTGCTGAAGCCATTTTGCCCCCAGTTATTGAAACTGATTTTGTTTATGTAGGACGTAGCTTATGTTGAGAAATACAAGGGATGGAGTCACCAAAACAAACACACTTTAAATTACTTTCTACACTTGTGTTGCATATGACCCCCACATGATCATTTTAATTTATATATTGTTCTTTTATTTGATGTAGTTTTGGATATATGATTCTAGTTTTATAAAGGCTAAATCATGCATGATAAATTCTAGCCAAAATTGCATCTAATCACAGCCTTGTATCTGGGGCCTATCAAGTTTAAATTTAAATAGCATTGATTTTATTTTATCTCTTAAAGTACAGTGGTTCTATCAATTTATATCCAAATATTTGTTCTCTATCAGTTGCTTTCCGACATTTCAACCAGTCATCAATAAGGTTTTTTTGTCCATTTTTGTTAGCAAAACAAACAAAAAATAAACCTTTGTTGCGTAAACTTCAATTACTTATTGAAAGTATAGATAGTTTATCAATTAAATTTCTAAAAAAAATTGTCACGTAATTCATTTAAAGTTATACATACAAAATTTTATTTTGAAAGAAAATTCATTATAAAAATAAGAAAATCCATGGAAAATATTATTAATATAAATTTTAATAAAAAAATTAAAAACAAAATTCACTTAAGTTTTTTTAAAAAAATTTGACTGCTAAAATCATTAAATACCCCAACTTCAATTAAAATTCAATAAATAATTTTTTATACATTTCATTTCAAAAAAAAAAAAAGAAAAAGAAAAAAGAAAGAAAAGATAAGAAAAAAGAAAGAAAGAAAAAGGAAGTCAAAAATCAACATGCTAATATATGCTAATTTTATTTGATTTGATTTAAAATTAACTTTTTTCTTCAATATATAAAATTAGCATATATCTAGTTCTTGCACTCTTTCATCTTATTTCCCTCATAGGCAACTTAGTGCTATTAATTTACTTGAGATATGTGAAAAAAACACGCAAGTTCAAATTTTCTTTTTATTTTTCTAGAATTAAATTAAACATATGTATAATTTTTTTTTATTATTTTAATTTGAAGTGCATTTTGTTTTTGATTTTTTTGTTATTTTATGGTTTTGTTGATTAAATGTTATTTAAAGATTTGTGAATTTGGTTTTGTATTTTTCTTTTTTGATTAAATTTCACATTTATTACATTTTTGGTGCTCTTGTTTTAAGTGAATTTGCTTTCAAATCAAATTTTTATATGCATCTTAAGTTAAATTACATGAAGAATTTTTTTTCAAGAATTAATTGAAACCTAACTATAGTTTGGGCAAATTGAAGTTTACAATAAAAGCATTTTTGGTTAGTTTTTCTATCGGAGGTAGACAGAAAGACTTTATTGATATATGGCGAAACATCAAGGAATGATTGATAGAAAACAAACATTTAAAAAGAAATTGATAGAACAAATATACTTAAAAGGGATAAAATGAAATTAACCTATTTAAATATCTTTCTACATCTTACTCTTACTATTTTTTAAAAAGCAATTTAGTTATTCTTTTTTTCGTTTTTTCGTTGGCACTTTTTTTTTTTAATTGGTAAGTTATCTTCATATTCCATCTCTATATTATTTTTTTTCTTTTGATGTCTCCATTCTTTACTTTAGGTCAGCATAAGATATTTTACTATCTTTGTTATTGTACTTTTTTCCAATTTTGATATAATATCAATAAATTATTTCTCCTATGAATTTTTCTTTTCTTTTAGCTAATATTTCTATGTTAATAAATGCAATTATTTTATAATTTATATATGATAATGACTGTTTTGGCACTGGTGACAAGAAATAATATGATGCTTCAGTTTTATGTTTATATTTAAATCATAACTTATAGAAAAAAGTATATTTTATACATATATAACATTTTAGGACTAATATATGTACACTCTATCTATATTGAGATGAGAAAGGACACACACACAAAAAAGGTTTAAATTGAACTGTTGGTGTAAGATTTTAGATTCCTACTAATTTTGCATCACAATAGTTGTATAATTAGTATCAAGCTTAATTACTATACAAAAAAATAAAAATAAATAATGAATAAACATGAACATTGTTAATACAAGGACCTGTTAATGAAAACGATTCCTATCTTTTAAGATTAACTAAATAATGATGTGGTTTTTTTTTTTTTTTATAAAAAAGCAAGCTATAGCATATTTTAATAAAAAAAACAATAAGTATGGACAATATAGTCTAATCAAAAGTTTAGCTCCCAACTGTGCCTTTTATTACATGTTAAGATACTGAGAAACACAACACAAAGACTAAACATAAACAGCTCAAAAAAAATTATTTCAAGCTGACTCTTTTTTTGTTTTCGCTGCTAATACTACACCATATTTGGAACCCTCTTAAATAACACTCTTTTTTCCGGAGTACACATCTCGCTGTTTGCAAATGGCCATTTTCCTATGTCGGTGGGAAGCAACTGCTGTGTATGAAGACATGCACATCTCCTGGTCAAAAATCACTCTTATCCTATGCGAGGAAAATTAAACTACTTAACTGGTCTTGATAACACAATAGTTGTCCTTGTACAATACACAGTTCGCTTGAGAAAGCAAATTCAGATTCTGTCCTTCATCCAATTTGTTGCTGTTCTTCCCTGCAACACTTTTTCTCTCTCTAAAAGTGATGCTGTGACTGTCATTAGCTATTCCTTTGGCAGAAAATCATGTATTCCATGCAAGAAAGAAGCCTGGTGAAGTGCTTTATCACTTGCAAGAGAGAGGGTTTTACAAGGACTATTACCTCAACAACACATTGGAATGGAGGGCAAAGTGGCTTGGAAAGACAGGTTTATAGAGGTTCTAATCATAACTTGGAATGACAATGAGAGAGTTGTAGTTGAGGGGAATTCAACACTGATTCAACACTTGAAGAAGTGATTTTAAATTTGCTTACTCAAGCCAGCCAAGTATTATAAACCGCCAGTATTGTTTGAAGCCAACCATGAAGACAAGTTTAGCCAATAGGAAGAATTTTCTTTGAACAAAATCTATGCAGCTTCTTCATACCAGCTTGACACGTAACTGACCAAGGAAAGTAGTCTCTTATAACCATCCTTAAACTATTATAAATAGGTAACCTTGGGTCCATGTATGTATGTTTCCAAATCGAGTGTGTGCTTCTGAAAGATAAGAGTGCTCGTTGTTTAGCTGTGTATGTTACAGGTGGTGAATTGAGAGAAAATTAAGTGAGCTTGTGGATGCTTTTCTGCAAGTCATGGGTAGTATTATGTGAGGAAATTTAACTCGTTTCTTGGTTGTATGTTGTCCGTTTATTGTGTTAAAGTATAATAAAAGTGTTTTTTTGTGGCTCCACCCATGTAGTTGTGGATCTAAACTGTTTATGTTGGAGAGTGTTAAATTAGTCATAAAACTGCAGGGTCTGAGGGTGGTGGAGCAATCACAGGAAGGGAATACCTCACTCTACTGGAGAAGCACAAGCCTAAACTGCAATGGGAAAAGAACAGTGGGGAACATTTTTTCCTCTACGTTGATGATGACCATGTCAATCATGCAGTGTTCTACCCGTCATTGATGTCAATTTCTATGCGGCTAGAAGAAGCTCGACTACAGGGAGTTGGTATCTCAATCTGGGAAATTGGGCAAGGTTTGGATTACTTTTTTGATCTTTTATGAGAGTCCTGAACTTCTCAATATGATGTAACATAACTTCTTATTTTAGTGGTTCATCTTAATTGTAACAAATGTTGGTTATGTCAGCATCAGTTTATAGAGCTCTTTCTAAATGGCTAAGACGTGTATGATTTTCATCATCTATCTTGAATTTTTCAAAGCAAAACAGATTGGTTAGCAACAGATACAGGGCTAAGAGTCAGGGTGATCCAGCACTCCTCATGGACAATTTATTCTTGTTGCCGCTCCCTTTTTTCTGAAGCAGTTGACACTATTCGATTTTACATATTATGAACTTGTGAATGAATATCAGAACACGAGACTGTACTTTATGGCATATGGATTATCACCTGCTTATCAATCCGCTTCCAATGCTTGTTATTTGATATTTACTGAAATCTGGCGGTAATTAGGTTTTCCATATATAATGCTGCATTGCTTTTAGATATTCATCTTAGTGCAAAACTGAATAGCTAGCAGGGGATCTATAGTCTTCTATGCTTGATGATAGCTCTACTTTGAAATCATCAGATCAAACAGAGATGTTGACCATTCAATTAAATTGTATTGCTGCCTTGCATTATGGTACCACACATTGGATGAAATGGTAGGACGTTGTAGCACCACCATACTGTTTTTTAACTTTTTTCTTCTATTATTATTTTTTAAACCCTTCGTAATCCTACCATGACTTTATTCTGTAAAAACATTCTATGAAACTTCGAACAAATGGCTGTAAGGTATTAATTAATTTTGTTACCAATTTGGCCGGGCGTAATCCTTCTCTCCTTGTTTATACGTAGCTTCGAAAAATTGTTAGTCCATGATTATTATTATTATTATTTTAACGATCTTTATGTTTGTAGACTGTAAGGGCTGTACTGAGGGTGAATGTAGTACTAGGTGTAGCTTGTAAAAAAGCTTCCTCAAAACTTCCTCTTTAATATCAGCCACAAAATCTCATGCCGTGAAAGTCACCAAGCCATAGGATCACGAGCTCTCATCTCCCTTCTACGTGTCTGGCAATGAGTGGCAAAGATATCCATCCATCATGCCACGCCAGCACCTCCACCCACTCAAAGTACACCAGCAACTTGTAAATGATACAAGGCTTTTCATCCTCTGCTTGCTTTTCACCAAATCATCCTAAAAGAAACGATATCTGCATAAAACTCCATTCTTATGGTGGTTCAAGTTTCTGCATCAGTTTTGTAAGAGACCAAGGCTGTTTGTGACAAAGAACTATGACATGGGGACCCTCAATGCAGCAAGCTTGACACCACTATCTGTTCTTTGTGAGAGAAGAGCAGAACCCAGGAAATCTTTATCACTACCTACAGTTTCACCACTCAAAATCTCCAATTCTACCTCTATAAACGCGAGCCGATCAACTACACAACAGTGTCTATCTAGGACTTTACATAGTGGTATAGTGCTACTATCTTCAGTTCTTAGTACTGGGCTGGCTAGAGCTATAACATATGAAGAAGCATTAGATCAGTCTGCGAGCTTCTTCTCATCTGATTTTGATGCAAATGGGATCCTAGATAGTGTCATAAAATTTGGAACAGAAAATCCAACAATTATAGCTGGTGGTGTTACAGTTTTGGCAGTGCCACTGGTTCTGTCTCTGGTGCTAAACAAATCCAAGTCATGGGGTGTTGAGTCTGCAAAAAAGGCTTATGTAGCGTTGGGTGATGATGCAAATGCTCAGTTGCTTGATATAAGAGCACCAGTGGAGTTTAAACAAGTGGGCAGTCCTGATATCAGGGGTTTGGGTAAGAAACCAGTGTCCATTGCTTATAAAGGTAAAGATAAGCCAGGTTTCTTGAAGAAGCTGTCTTTGAAGTTCAAGGAACCAGAGAATACCACATTGTTCGTTCTAGACAAGTAAGATAGTGAATCCAATTACTATGTTTTGCATGAAGATTTCATCTCTTACTCTCACCATTATCTAGGATATAAGTTAAGATAACTGGAAATTCTTCGATAGAGAAAATCCAGATGGGGCAATCGATGGTGGTCTATGCAATTTTTCCTCTGCATGGGCTGGTTTTAGAATCTATATTTTATAGCATATTAGCTAGATCTCGTAAGTTCTGTTCCATTTTTTCATTGAAACCAAAGAACTGATTGAGTTTGAGAACCTGGTATTAGCGCCTGCTTTAAATTGGCTAACTGGCATTTGTAGAAGTTCCACTTGCAATTTCACATAAGAGCAATCTGCAATAACAGGTAAACAGCTTTGATTATGATTGTCAAAAATATTCAAAAATCTCATTTGAAGTTGTGTCTTTACTGTTCGGGCCTGAAAGAACCCTGGAGAAGGGTCAAAATAGCTAGCAAACAGTGCTGCCTGCATAGTACTGTTAACTGAACTGCCAAAACTTGAAGATACAAATGTAGAAATCATTCATAATGTAAAAATGTTATATATTTCCCCCTTATCAAGGATCCAGAGCTCATTAAATCACAGAGACGTGCTTGTTAACCAATCTAGATAATAACAAAATCAATTTATGAAAAATAAGGAATATGTATCAATAGAAGGAAAGGAAAAAACAGCAAGACCAACTTTTACAATTTCTTAACCCCCCAACGCCCCTTTCTCCTTTGCATTGCCATTCCTTATGAGGTAATAATTAGAGTTCTGATTCGTTCTTTGCTATCCAAAACCATTGTTTGAAGTTAACGTTGCTAAATTTATGATGAAAGCCAGATTCGATGGCAACTCTGAGTTGGTTGCAGAGTTGGTCACTGTAAATGGATTTAAAGCAGCTTATGCAATCAAAGATGGTGCAGAAGGACCCCGGGGATGGATGGTATTTGCTGTTTTTTCATTACTTTTATTTCGTGTTCGAACTATTTAGCATCCAAGTCCCTTTGTTATCTTATGGAACATAAATACAAGCTTTGAGAATTATGCTTTGCAGAATAGTGGGCTTCCCTGGATACCACCAAAGAAAGCTTTGAGTCTTGACCTTGTTGATTTATCAGAGACTATCAGTGGTGCACTAGGAGTATGTGTCCTTTCTTCTTCTGCTGCATTTTTTTTCCCTTCTTTTAGTTTTTCCTTCTGCTAAAAAAATTAACTTCAATACACAATCTAAGGACCTTTATGAATCTAATGCTGATCCTTTGCGTTGTCTCATATAACTCTAAACAAATGATAGTTGTCATGGTATTCATGATGAATAAAATGGGTGATTTGGTAAAAAAAGCAGAGGAACATTTACGTTGTGCCTATTCTGCTGAAATGAGAGTGTTAATATAAATGAGCTGTGAGTGAGAGGGGGTAAATATTGCTGTTTTGAAGATTAATGACTGAACTAAAAAGCTGCAACACACTCGAGGCTTGAGGAATGATAAGGATAAGGGAAGGCTCCCTCAGGATGTAATCATTGTTGCCAGAAATAAGATAACCACATAGTGTAACATGGTAATAAGTATGGCCATTACCTACTAGCCTTGTTGTTAACATCATTATCTTGATCTAGCAATACATCCACTAGAGAATACATATACATTGCATCCTTGACAGGTCCCTAACCTTCTACTTCAGCCTAACCATCAGAATGGTACAGAAGAGCCATTGATAAATCATCACGCCTAATTTAGCTACTGTAACTTAGAGGTGCAAGGAACTTTTATTTTTTCAGTTGCCAAGCTTGTCGATCAACATCCTTAAAATAATTCTACCACTAATTATTTCTTCCCCCACTAGTTTTTTCATCTCTCTCGTTAAACGTAAGGATGGTCTCTTAGGGTTGAACATACTAATCTTAGTCATGGCCAGATTTAGATGGGAGCCAGGGCACCCTTGGCCCACTTGTAGCTTTGATTCCTATTCTTGGTTTGAATCTCAGAATATTGGTACTCAAGGATCGATATTACTGAGTTCTTGTATATAAACTTGTGGAGTTATGGCCTTTCACTTATGATTTTATAAATAATCATTTCTGCACAGTAATCACAATGATAATTTTGCAGGAGGGCTCTGATGCCTTGAGTGTCACCTTTGCAATTGCAGCTGTTACTGGGTTAAGTGTATTGGCATTCTCAGAGGTTGGCTTGTGAAGCTTTTTCATATCATTTTTCTATACTTTTTTTTTTATTTCTTTTATTTTATTTTCACTAAAAGGGTTTTTGTTTTGAGAGATGCCAGATTGACTGTTTTGCTGTGTTTTCCAGATTGAAGCCATACTCCAAGTATTAGGCTCAGCTGCACTAATTCAGTTTGTGAGTAAGAAATTCCTGTTTGCTGAGGTATGTCTTTGTCTACATAGAATTCTTCTTCATGAATTTCACGACTGGAGATGATATGATTTCATTCTATTGCATTGCTCTAGGTTACATAAATTTTCTAATTGACCTTTCTGCCTCCAAAAAAAAAAAACAGAAAAGAAAAAAAAACACTTCCTTCAAAATTTAAAACATAATATATGTGCTGAAGTAAGTTTTGTGCCCTGAACAGTTATCATATATACTCCTAGAAAATAGAAAATATATTGTGATTCTGAAAAACCACTCAGACAAGACTTGCCCTTTTATGAGTGTGATGGGATAGTAATGCCCTTGTGGGAGTCTGATCCAGCATCCAGACAGTTAGGGGCCATAACTCCCAGGTCCTTAAATTGCAAACATTTAGATTCACTTTCACATTTTATTCTTTGCTTCCCATGGCAGGACCGTAAGCAAACTCTGGAGCAAGTTGATGAATTTTTGACCACCAAGATTGCACCTAAAGAGTTTGTGGATGAATTGAAGGTAATGTTTCAAACCTTATAGATGTTTATATTCTTATGTGGTTAAGCGAAATCAGTAATGTTTTCCAAAAATTATGGCATTGTTTGGCCATGAAAATATGTTCACAATTTAATTCTTCTTTCCTTCGAGAAGTTGGATGCAATACATAAAACTTATCCATAAAGAGACAGTAACTATCTCACTTTCAAAACTAGATGAAAGTTCAACCAATATATAATCAAAGTAAAGATGGTTAGGATCTAAAAATATCAAATAAGAGATTAAGGTTGTAAGAAAATCCAAGTAAACCAAGAAGTTTAAATCAAGCAAAAAAGTTAAGGTTTTAAGATTAAAAAAAAATCTAATAAACTAGGGGTTTTTTAAGGAAAACCTAAGAAAATAGTAGCTATACTGAAAAAAAGATGGTAAAGAAAGTTGCAAGGAAAGCAATAAGTAAAATTGCAAGAAAAATAGAAAAAGAATAAATAAATTGCTAGAAAATAAAGGGTAAAGCTATAAAGGAAGACAAATTTGTAAGAGAAAAATAAAAAATTACAATGATAGTACTTTTTTTTTTATAGAAAATATTAAACTTAATGGGCAAATAAACTTGAAAAATAAACTAGACTAGTTGGGAATAAAATTGCTCTTACAATAAGTTTTTTCCCTAAAAAATAAGATATAATTGAAAATAAATTAATACTGTTGTCCTTGTTGCTTCTTGAATCTACATCCATAAAGCTCTCGGCAACTTTTTTCCAATTTTGCATAAGTTATCTTGATTTTCTCTTTTTTGCTCCTCCATGTTTCTTGAATGTCCTGATTTAGTCCTTAGACTCCAAAGCTTATTAATTTGGTCCAATTGCTAAAGGTCAATTGGAGAAAGTTCATTTTGAGAGACAATCACATCAATATTTTTTTTTCTCGATTACCTGGTCAATTCAGGACATAGGGAAGGCTCTTCTGCCAGTACCAGTGACTAGCAAGGCTCTTCCTGCACCTGCAGAAGCAATTCCAGAACCTCCTGCTGCTGCTGAAAGTACTGTACAGAACGCAGAAGCTGCTCCCCAGATAAATTCAGTACCCAATACAGGAGCTAAAGCTGAACCAGTTTCTGGATCTTCAAGGCCACTGTCTCCATATCCATCTGTAATTCTCACTCTCATTGCTCTTGTTTATTTCCAGTCTGATTTTTTCTTCAAGTTCGTAGCACATACCCAAGTTGGCTACACATGCTATGAAGTTTTTTACTTGCGTAACTGCTAAACCTATGGCTGCCTTCCTTGTGTTGCAGTATCCGGATCTCAAGCCTCCAACATCTCCTGCCCCGTCTCAACCTTAAATTGAAGTCTTCATCGCTCGTTCTGCAACAGGAAGTTGTCATAACGGGAATATCTAGAGCTACTTTGCAAGCTGTGCAATCTATGCTCCTCGTATATAAAACATTCGAGTCTACTTGACGATTTGGATTGAAGAAAAAAATCAGTCACGATGAACCATGAAAAAGGGAATGGAAAGGACACTTAAAGAGTCATGAAATGGATGGATGCTTCGTTATAAGTTACAGGAAACCTGATCATGTCTCTCTTCAACGGTTTGTAGCTTGTGAATCTTTTTGTAGATGTAGCTCATGAGCTAACACTACCTTCGATGCAGTAATGCCATTTTTTTTCAGTTTCTGGAGTCACTGGAAGAACTTTAGGTGTGTGCAAACATGTGTGAAATAAATTTATATTTTGAGGATAGCTTAATAAATTACTGGATTTTACGTTTGAGAACAAGCAGGGTCAGGTATTATACCTAGTGGACGAAACTTTGCAATTGTCCATAAACACCCTCCAATTTACAATGCCATTTTTGGGTCATGAAAATAATAACTTCATTTAACCAATTTCAAATTATTGCAATTTAACAACATTGCACCAAACACTTCTTGGAATCTACGAAAATTCAGGAGTCCATCAAACATGGTAGAAATCACAATAAAAAAGAAAGAGAAATAACTTGGCATACAAATTGAATGCTGTGGAGATCAGAGTCAATGAATTTTTTTTTAAAAAAACTACTCAATAAATTCGGTTATTTATTTATTTATTGTGGAATTAAACTTGTAGTAATTACTTTGAGTAACATGAAAAAATTTCCGAATATTAGTCCAAAAAATTCAATCATTGTATCTATGGGATTCACTAGCTTCACTTAATGACCATTATTAAAAAATATTGGATAAAATTAGCATTAATCAATTACTTTTCTATTGACCGTTGAGCAGCTTGCTTCTGTTTTGTGTTGTAACGGTACGATTTCAGTTGGCAGTGACCCAATTTGAAAAATAACAAGAGCAAAGTTCCCAGAAACGAAGTCGTTTCAAACTAATAAACAGATCCAAACAGACCCCGAGCAATTTACCCCCTCCCTTGCCAGACCCAGGACATTGCTTTTCAAAAATTCCAAGAGAGCGCCAAAACACTAGGGAGAGAAAAATAAAAAATTCGCAGGCTCCAAAAAAGCTGAATAATCCTCACTTATCGGCTAAAGCTAAAAAAAGGACAGAATTTCCCTTTCGCATGCACTCCATCGATGGCCAGAACAAAAGCTCAGCCTGCTCGAAAACGAAGCAGAAGCCAAAGGCAAACCGGTCAGATCTCTCTCTTTACTTATAATTTTATCAACACACTCGAAAATGCAGACATGCATAAATTTATGGTTTTTTTTTTTTTTTTTTTGGTATAAAACACGCATTTGTTGTTGTCGTATTTATATGTAAATGGTTAGGGTTTCTATTTTTCCCTTTTTTTTTTGTTATAAACCTTAACTTTTTATGTTTTCCTTCGTGAAATTACAGAAACTGCAACATCTACACCTAGAACGCCAACATCATTGGTACCTCTGTCTCTCTCTTTGTTTTGTTGTTTCTTGTGATTTTTTCTGTTGCCTGTTTGGTTGCTGAGAAAATGCGGGAGAGGAAAGTGACTACTAATTATTTGTTTTAAACTCCTGTTTTATGTTTTGTATAAATTTGAAAGAAAAAATTAGAAAAATAAGTGTGCATAAGCTGGAGGTAATTGGTTATGGAAAACCCCAGGAAGGAGAAACTTTAGGATAATAAAAAAAAAGTGAAGTATATATGTTTTGTTTTAAATATTTTCATGGCTATTGAACTGAACCTTTGTTTTCTAATTTGTTATTTTCTGCTACTATTTTAATTTCCTTGGTAAAGTTAAAAATGGGTAAGACATGAAGAAAAGAAACTTAAAATTCAATACACCTTTTCTCTTTTTAACTGTTATTTTAGTAGAGAAAGAAATGAAAAAACCCAAAATAGTTATACATGTCTTGTTTTACTCTTGCCTTAAATTTCAAATGTTCTAGTGTTTTCCTTTTGGTTGTTTAATAATCTCATATTTTATTTTTTTGGTTGCAGAGGACAAGATCACCAGCAAATGCCCAAAAAGGTGAGTTTTTTTTTTTTTTTTTTTGGGTTTGGGGGGGGGGGGGAGGTGAAATTTGGTTCTTATTTTAGAATGAGTTGTTGATGCAGGACAGCTTAGGGGCTGTTCTGGATCTGATTTTTGGAAGGTGTTTAGGGTTGTATTGAAGTAGGTTTCTGCTGCAATATGCATCTTAGGGGCTGTTCTGGATCTGATTTTTGGAAGGTGTTTAGGGTTGTATTGAAGTAGGTTTCTGCTGCAATATGGGAAATATGCTGGTAGAATTCTAGGAGTCACAACTAGACGATAGAAAAACCTAAGCTGCACACCTAGGGTTCTTAGGTGTCACACCTAAGGGAGTTTGAGTCACACAATCAAAAGCAAATTGCTGGAATTTTATTCATAAACTTTTCTTCTCCGTAATATTGAAAGGCTACATACTTATTTATAGAGTTCTCTAGAATAGGAAAAACCTAATAAAGCTAAGTGCACCTAGAATAGGAAAACATAAGCTAATTACTCCTTAGGACTAATATAATACTAAATGGAAAATAAAACCTAGACTTAGACAAATTTCCAGATTTTCTGGAAATTATAGAAATATTCTTGTCTACAAAAAGATACAAGCTTTGCTTCCTTTGTTGTCCGCATCAGCTGTTCAATTGATTGTATTGACAGGTGGTTTTTTCTGGGATGCTTTTGCTTTGTTTGTTGATTTTTGTTGAAGGTACATCCACACAAACGCAGAGGAAAAAGCACCGCTTCCATCCAGGGACAGTAGCTCTCCAGGAAATTCGGAAGTACCAGAAGACATGGAAGTCACTCATACCAGCTGCTAGCTTCATTCGATGTGTGAGCACTCTCTGTTGTAACTTTTTTTATAGCTTATTTTGTTAAACCAATCATTGGATGTCATGTTTAATTGTTCTATTTCTTGCTTGTAAGATTCAAATTAATTGGGTATCTCTTTGTCATCTTGATAACTTTTTGAATTTGGGACTTAATTTGGTGATCCTAGAATGAATGGAATGTTTATAAATATTTGATTGACTTGCTAGTTTTACGTGCATGATCTCCATGAAGAGTAGTATTATATCCAAAGTCTGGTTTGGTAAAACTGAGATTGTCCGAAAATGTGTTAAACAACCAAACACTTCATGCTTGTGGGTTTCTTTGCATATATGTGCATGTAAAATGTTTGCATATGTACACATATTAAAGCATGTAAATAAATTTACATGACCATTGGCTAGATATGATGTTGGTTCCCACAGCAATATAGGTCACAATCATTATTGTGATGATCCAGTCAAGATTGACTTGAATAGCATGCACTAGAATTATATGATTTATAGATTGTCCGAAAATGTGTTAAACAACCAAACACTTCATGCTAGTGGGTTTCTTTGCATATATGTGCATGTAAAATGTTTGCATATGTACACATATTAAAACATGTAAATAAGTTTACATGATCATTGGCTAGATATGATGTTGGTTCCCACAGCAATATAGGTCAGAATCATTACTGTGATGATCCAGTCAAGATTGACTTGAATAGCATGCACTAGAATTATTTGATTTATATAGGAAAGTTGACAAATTAATCATACAAATTTGACAGTTTTTTACTCTATTCATTTGCATTGCTCTCGTGAAGTTTCTTTATGTTTGCCGTGCATATTAATGTTTCTTACTGTCACAGTATAATCTGATATTTGATGCATCTTATTGTTTGGATCTGAAGTTGTGTTACTCCACAACTCATTGGTTTTCTCCTCGTGCTGTGTCTCCAAATTTCTTTGTTATTCCCAGATGATTGTTCCTCATTGAAAACTTTTTTTACAATTGAATTCTCTATTTATGATTTGCTACATCTTTTTGCCAATGAAAAACCAAAATTTTCTTCATCGAAAATTTGTACTTCTTTTTCAACTCGACATTGTTTTTTTTTTTTTTAATATTATTATTATTACGGATTGACAAAGTTGGGGCTTGAACTTGAGACCTCACTTGTATTGTTTTTGCAAGAGTACCCTTAAGCTACAAGCTCCTTGGTACAATTGGATGCTGTGCTTATAAGGATTTAGATTTTTTTTTTTCTTTTTTGTTTTTTGACAAAATAGAAGTTGGATCTCTCTGAATGCTCACATGCACAAAATTCAACGGTGACTCTAAAAACAAGGTTTTTTCGGTAAAGAACACCAATGGTTGGAACCTTCTAAACCACTTCACTCTCTTGTGTTGTTGTAACCTCACAATGTATTTGTTAAATTCACCTGTTACTTATTCCATTTTCACAGTTCAGTAACTTCGCTGTTGTTTCTCTCTCTCGGCATGTATTTGTTGAATTCACCTGTGGCTTATTTATTCATGACATTGAGATTCTACAATTAGTTTTTGTTAACAATGCCCTTTGGACATTATGCATTTACCTTTTGTGCATTTGATCTTGTTATTGAGGTTTAATTGGATGTGGCAATGGTTGTTATCATTTTACAGGTAAGAATGATTACCCAGGAGTTTTCCCAAGAAGTTAACCGTTGGACTGCTGAAGCTTTAGTTGCAATTCAGGAGGTATTGTGATTTTCTTTGAACTGTATGCCAGTAGTATGCTTCATTACTTCAACGCTCCAGCAAAAATCTGTACTTGTCTTCAAAAGTCTCAGTGTACATGCATTTTCAGTTTAAGAGTACTCAATCTCCTCTTAGTGTTGTCATCATCTCTAGTCTTGTTCGGTACGGTCATGTAGTTTTTGGTAAAAAATGGGACCAAAGGCCCTAAACACTTAAATAGGAGAACAAACATGTGGAACAACCATCCCAATTAAGTCATTAAAATGAAAGCGTCCCCAGCCCGAACCAGACCCCCCAAAGCCACTTCTCCAGACTCCATTGCTATCACGAACCAGAGTCCCCAAACCAAGTAATTACTCTGCTCTGCGTCTACTTTTCATAAGATTAGGGAAGTTGTGCTATTAAATCTTGATGCATGCCAGTTATTGTTTTGTTACTTGTGTAGGCAGCAGAGGATTTTTTGGTTCATTTGTTTGAAGATGGAATGCTATGTGCAATTCATGCAAAACGCGTTACATTAAGTGAGTGAGACTTGGTGCAACTATTATAATTACATGCTTTTCCTTTTCTTTTTTCTCCTTTAGTTTCATGAGCTAATTTTTCACATTATAATAGAATTTTGATCAACTCTAGTTCAGCGATTTCTGCTATAAACACTCTTAATAATCTTCAGTTTAGTGCATAGCAGGTCAAATCAAGTAAGTTCGATTTTACACAACTCCATCTATTGTGATCATGACCTTTTTGTGTTTCCCTCAAATTCTATTGGAAAACTTTGCACTTCTATTTATTTATTTAGATGGAATTTTGATCAAGTTTACTTAAGTGGTCTTAGAATCTTCAGTGTAGATGTACACCAAATCTTATGCTGCTTCTCTGTTGTATAAGTGCTAGTATGCTTTGCAGATTATTGATATTTCAGAAACTAATTTTTTAGGATTACAAGAACATCCTTGAAATTATCTAGACTGATTTGTGAATTTGAAGAAGTCAGTCAAGATGAAACACAAAAAGAAGGGAACTAAAACTAACATTAACAAACCATAGACTAGACAACATACTTCTAATAGTTGCAAACCTACTTAACCTTGATCAAAATTCATTTTTAGAAGTTCTTTAGCATAAATATTGGCCGTTTTATTCAGACTACCATGCCGTTTGTTCTCCTTTGCCTCTTCCACTGATGCGCCTTTTTCTATGGCATTCAAAAGTACATATTAACAGATAACAGTTGGGATATTCTGAAGTGCGTTGCTGCTATGTTCACATTGTGCACAATTATTTGGATTCACCAATATCATAGATCTTACTGTTGATGATCCCATGGCGGCATGCCTATGATGTTTTGTCCAATTCAAATTCATTCAATCTTGCTTCAGAATTTTATATGAGCTATTCAGTAAAGAAACTTGTTTTATTTGCTTTCTTGCCTCAGTGAAAAAGGATTTTGAGCTGGCTCGTCGACTTGGAGGAAAGGGACAACCTTGGTGAGAGTGTCACAGTACAAGAGCATTTCTGATTGTAACCACCTTGATATGCAATTTTACATTGTTGTTCCGTAAATGGCGCATTATTAGGAAGTAGAAATCAGTCACCACCCTCATCACATCACTTGCAATGTGGCAGCTTTCAGAAATTTGCGTACACAGAAAATTTGGGGTGCATGATATAGACTATAGGGAAGGTAGATCCCGTTGACCATTGTCTATGTTTCCTTAGAATCCACAAGTCATATTAGGGTCATAATTGGTCGATTATGTTTTGAAGGGGATCTAATAGCTGATGTGCTTGTTGGAGGCAGTGTATGTTGTCCTTAAGTCTCTCTCTTTGATGACTAACACATTGCAATTTTAATCTATTTGTATTGCTTGTTTGATGTGAAAATTGGAACCTCAACTTGCTTCTTAGATCTTATGGCCATGCGAAACTGGCTATCTTTTTGAAATTTGATGACAGTTAACTGGTGATCCCTGCCATTCCAGCAAGATGAAGTAAATAGAAGCAGGATGCTCGCTGGCTACGTAAAACGAAGTAAAGTGAATCGCTTGGCTAATACCCATTTCATCCTAATCATGAGCAGCTATGTGGTTTAAGATTAGAACTTCTCTCTCGGAAGTGGTTTTTCTTTTAGTTCATTTTGATCACGTGAAAGTGCTGGTTGAGCCTTTTTATTAAATTTTATTTCACAGGTGCTTCAAATAATTGTCATTACATTTTCATATGTTAATAGTTTCAATGCCTCTGAATCATTAAAAAAATAAAAATAAAAGAATTCGAGTTTTTTCGGCCGGGGAAAGAGGGTTCCCCCAAACCACCCCACCTTTCCACCCCCTCCTCCACCCGCCCCCCAACACCACACCACCAACCAAACCCCCCCCCCCCCAAAACACCACACCACCAACCAACCCAAAACAATGACGGCTGTCATGTTCTCTCCTTTCACGTCGTATGTTATAATGTTGGCACTCCAGTGAATTTGCTTGGTTTGTCAGGTAATATACTGAGTTTAAACTTTAAATCAGAATTTCATGGTCTATTATGATGAATAAATCTGCTTGAATTTTGAAAATGGAAATAAGCAGATTGAATGGCAAAGCACACTAACAATCTACCAAAGGATCTGATAGTACTGAACGAAACCAGGAGCTCTAATTCCTCCTTGGTAGCAAGTATCAGTATTTCGTCTTTAGTCATAAGGCTTGAGCAATGAAATCCAAAAGCTCGAGATAGGGATGACAATCCAATCCATCGTCCCAACGCCACCCGCCCCACCTTGACCCGCCCCGTTTGAGGCGGGGCTGGAGTGCGAAATTTTATTTTGAACGGGATACGAGATAGGGATGGGTTTTTTTTTCAGGCTCCATCCCCACCCCGCCTCATCCCGTCCTTTTGCTTTTAAAAAAGGTAATCTAGGGAGGCGATTTGGGATGGACATGAAGAGCGAAATTTCATTTCGAACAGAATATAAGACGAGTATGGGTTTTTTTTTTGTAATAACGGGACGGGGATGAAAATGGCGATCCTCGTCCCATCCTGCCGCATTGCCATCCTTAGCTGGAGACCCGGAACTTCAAAGGAGCAAATGATATTGAATCACATGTGAAATCTTTCATCTCATGAGTCAAGATTTTCTTTTAACGGAGACAATTATTCATGTGAACAGACACTGCTATAACGGCGCATGCACACACACACACACCTTGTGAATATACAGATTGGTGGGATCCATCATTTTTCGATTCAACATTACTGGCTCAGCCTCATGACTCTTCCATTTATATGGTGCTTCCAAAAAGTCTTTACATTTTTTTGGCAATATTGCAACATGTCACGGAACGTCCAGCTTCAAATTATACATATTTGCTTGCTCCGGTTCTCCCTTTCTGGAAAAGCATTGGATACGTTATTAAGTGTGGCTGATTTTGTTAAGATGTCGTAATAATAGGAGTACAAAATTTCCTTGTAGTATCTATTACGAGGAAAGAATTTCAAAATCATGGAATATCGATCTTATCACAATTACTAAGACAATTATAATTAAAAAAATTGAGTGATTGATAAAATATCAAGATGTCGATCCATTTAATATAGAATTTTAATAAAAAAATTTAAGTATCTCTAGCATTATCTAACTTTTTAATAGAAAAAGTTACCACTAGTTTTTTGCTCCGAGCAACGCTAGAGATGCTTAATTTTTTACTAACATTGTTTTACGAAATAATGTGACAATATATGCTTATTGATTCATTAGTTAATTTGTTTTATAATTATCATTGCCTCATTAAATGTGATAATATTCAAATTCCATGATTTGAAATCCAGTGCTGTAATAAACTGCAACATCATTTAGTATAAAAGATTTTGTTAAAAACAGTAGGGGTCAAATACTTCCAGTGCCTATGTACTATATCGAAAAAATTATTACAATCCCCCTATTAGAAATAGTACACAACAAACTTTATATTATTAAATGTTGATGCAAAGCAATTCCTTCTCTAACTTTTTTCTTTATTTTGATCAATTTATATTAGTTCATTGACGTTTAGTCAATCAAATAATGACACATATCAATCTAAGAGAAAAAATATAATTTTCTTCTAAAATTAGTTTTTTCTAAATTAAAATAATTGAAAATTGAAAAAAAATAACTTTTTAAATAATCAGATTTTTTTAATTTCTAATGAATTTATAATAATAATTACTACATTAAATCATGAAAAAATATAAAATTATTTTTTTTTCAAATTTTAATATTTTAATAATTATTATTAATAAAGAAAATTTTAATGATTTTATAATAATTACTAATAAATAAAATTTAAAGAAAACTTTTTTTCAAAAAAAAAAGAAAGAATAAATAATTTTTTTATTTAAATTCTTTTCTTTTCAAACTTTATTTATTAATGGTTATTATAAAAATAAAAAGTGAAAAAATATTTATTAATAATTATTATAAAATAATTAAATTTAAAAAAATATTTTCATATTTTTAAAAATTTTCTTTAATTATAATTATTATAAAATCATAAAAAAATTGAAAAGAAAATTGATTATTTTTTTAAAAAATTATTTAGAATTTTTTTTCAATTTTAATTATTTTAAATTTCAAAAAATAAAATAAAATAATATTTTTACCTTTAATTGACACGTTTCATCATTTAATTAGTCAAACATTAGTATTGATGAATCTAATGAAAAAAGTTAATGAAGAGCTGTTTTTCTCCAATATCTAATAATATAAAATTTGTTATGAACTATTATCGGTACAGTGGACTCGCAACGATGTTTTTAATATAGTACAAAGCCATGAATTGTGTTTTACCTTTAAAACTAGGATTAATTGGTCCAATATCTTTATATATTGGACATATTCTCTAATATGTTATTTCAAGAATTTTTCACTCCGAAGGTGCTTTATGTATTCATATTTTCTCTCATGTTTTTTGTCACATTTTAGAGGAAAATTTAGATAAATTTTATATTATTCTAGGAGTAATTACCAATACTCACTCTATGAGGAAAAAAAAGAAACAAATAGGGGAGATAAAATTTGAGGTTAGTGGAAATATTCTTATCACTTTTGATGGATTCGGATGTAATTCTCATTTTTACTTTTATGTTTATATTGTTGGAATATTTTTTAATAAAATATTAAAAACTATATTTATTATATTATTGATTTAAGAAGAAAAACCGAAAGAAAATGACTTTTAAACAATCATAAAATGAGTACATGAATGCTTTAAAATAATCATTTGTTTAATTTAATATTAAAAAAAAATGGTTCCATGACCGTTTGTGTGCCATTGACGTTAAAATTTATTTCAACATTTATTCTCTCATACCGCTATCTTCTAGTAGCCAATAAATATGATATTTTTCTGGTCATTTTATACACAACAATTCTTCTCTTGTTTAGAGCAAAACAAAATAGGGAGAAAAAATATCATCATTTTTTTCTTTGTTTTGTTTAGAAAGAAAAATACTTCTTTTAATTTTGTTTGCTTTTATCTCCCATTAAGAAGCCATATTATTTTTATTAGTTTTTTGAGTAAGAGTGGTGTTAATTTTATTTAAGGCTTCAAGTCTTATAAGTAGTACAAACTTGTTAAGACATGATAAGGTGGTCGAGCTTATTGTATCCCCGATATGACATGCCATACACTCTTGATTTATTGTATTAGATAAATTCTACGGATGACGCGTATCATTTTAAGAAAGCAATCTAGTTGTGTCTCGAGTCAATCACCTAAAAATTATGATACAACTCGTTTTGATGATTTATTCATCTTTATACCATGACACATGACAACGTGATTTTAATCCTTAATTTTTCTAACGATGAAGGTAAAAATTTCTAATTTTTCATTCATCTTAATTTACAATGAATTTATTTGTTTACTATGTTAATTTTTATTATTTAATTATATTTCTTTTATGTACTAGGAACAACATATCCTTCTCTTTAAAAGTTGACTCATCTAGTAACTATTATATACTTGCAATAATTACTCTTTAAATATTTTAAAAATTCTCAAAAATTCTCTCAAATCTCTAAAAGAAAATTTGATTTTCAAAAATCTAAAAATGTGAAAATTTTATTTCAAAAAAACTAAAAAAATATTTGAAAAAAAAATTAAAGGACTATTAAAAAAACCCAAAAATTACAAAAAGATAAAAATAACCATGTCCATAGAGCCTCGTAATAGAAATATATCTAAGCCAATAAAATAAGTTTTACAAAACACAAATTTTTAAAATTTTTCATTAGTTCTCTATGCTTTCCTTTTCAAACTTTCACAGGTTGATTAAACTTTTTTTTTTTTTAGATGTTCTAAGATTTTTTTATTTTAAAAATTTATTTCTATTTTTTTGGTTTTAAATTTTTGTTAATTTGTTAGAATTAATTATTTTATTTTATTATTATATTGATTATTATTATTATTAGTATTTTTGGTAGTTTGAGGGATATTTTTGTCCAAAAATCGATA